CGAGTACGGCATAAATCCGACAGCACCTGCCTAGTTTTGTAAATGTACGAATGCAGCTATGGAAAGCGCGCGGGTTTATTAGAAGGTCTGGGATGTAATAGAAGACCAAAAACTGTTGTAAATACAAGATTTTCGGCTCGGAATTTCAGATAAGCGGTATCTACGTCAATTGCTTTATAGATACATCAGATTACAGCTTTTGTCAGGATGTGCCTCTCATAGCAACGGCTAAACATTGTTGCCCCCTCCTGTCTAATTAAAAAAAATGCGTTTATTACATAATTTTATATAAAAATCTTGAACATGTGAAAGCGCCATCTAGCGACTAAAGCTTTCGGTACTCAGAAACGGCCTTACACTACTAGGTCGATGCATGGGTGTCATTGACCCAAGGGTTACAAAATTAATCTAACAGAACAAAAAAGTTACTTACCCATTGCTACCCAAAATCCAAGATAAAGAGAAACACTGCACAGCCAAACACCGCAGAATAACTAATTAAATCACGAATTGAGAAAAAAAACAAGATAATACAATTTATTGGTCCATTAAAGCCGCATTCATCAAACATGGAAAAACAGAGATCCTTCGAGCCTCTACGGAAAATTTAGAACCGGTTGACACAATTCCAAGTGAACGACGTAAGTGGTTGCGGCCGTGAGAATGTTCAGTTCTGATAAGGGCCTATTGATTGATAAGGAAAATTTGCGATCTCTGCAACAACTTTTGCCGATCCCCGATTGATAGAAGGATCGGCTGATACGTTCGAGCCGCCGGTTTATAGCAAGACCTTTCTGGTTCCTTTCCAAAACGTAAGAGGGCCCAGGTGGTTCTATAGAAGAAGATCTACAACGCTATGGAAGGGGGTTCTGAAGACACTAGGAGGCCGGACGCTACAATCCTAAACCATTTATCCTTCCAATGTATAGAAAGCACGAATTATTCCGAACTCGCCTTCGGCTCGCTCGGCATTGGTACAGACTTCAATATTGAAGTCAAAAAATTCAAACAGAGAAGATTTCTCGCCCCTGTCACATAGAAAACACGATTTATGTCAAATGGTGCTTTGTATAAGAAAGGGGAGAGCCGAATTTATGCCGAACTCACCTTCGGCTCGCTCGGCATTGGTACAGACTTTCGTCACAAAACAAAAAAGTTCAGGCAGAGAAGATTTGACCATTTATCACTGAGCCTACGAATGCCGAGCGAGCCGAAGTCGAGTTCGGCATAAATTCGGCTCGCCCCTGTCACATAGAAAACACGATTTATGTCAAATGGTGCTTTGTATATTGAAGGGGAGAGCCGAATTTATGCCGAACTCACCTTCGGCTCGCTCGGCATTGGTACAGACTTTTAATTATAAGACAAAAAAATTCAAGCAGAGAAGATTTGATGATTTATCACGGCGCCTACGAATGCCGAGCGAGCCGAAGGCGAGTTTGGCATAAATTCGGCTCGCCCCTGTGACAAAAAAACACGATTTATGTCGAATGGTGCTTTGTATATGGAAGGGGAGAGCCGAATTTATGCCGAACTCGCCTTCGGCTCGCTCGGCATTGGTACAGACTTTCGTCACAAAACAAAAAAGTTCAGGCAGAGAAGATTTGACCATTTATCACTGAGCCTACGAATGCCGAGCGAGCCGAAGGGTGAGTTTGGCATAAATTGGGCTCGCCCCTGTCACATAGAAAACACGATTTATGTCAAATGGTGCTTTGTATATGGAAGGGGAGAGCCGAATTTATGCCGAACTCGCCTTCGGCTCGCTCGGCATTGGTACAGACTTTCGTCACAAAACAAAAAAGTTCAGGCAGAGAAGATTTGACCATTTATCACTGAGCCTACGAATGCCGAGCGAGCCGAAGGGCGAGTTCGGCATAAATTCGGCTCGCCCCTGTCACATAGAAAACACGATTTATGTCAAATGGTGCTTTGTATATGGAAGGGGAGAGCCGAATTTATGCCGAACTCACCTTCGGCTCGCTCGGCATTGGTACAGACTTTAATTATAAGACAAAAAAAATTCAAGCAGAGAAGATTTGAGGATTTATGACGGCGCTTACGAATGCCGAGCGAGCCGAAGGGGAGTTTGGCATAAATTCGGCTCGCCCCTGTGACAAAAAAAACACGATTTATGTCGAATGGTGCTTTGTATATGGAAGGGGAGAGCCGAATTTATGCCGAACTCGCCTTCGGCTCGCTCGGCATTCGTAGGCGCCGTGATAAATTATCATATCTTCTCTGCTTGAATTTTTTTGTCTTATAATTAAAGTCTGTACCAACGAGTGTACCAATGCCGAGCGAGTCGAAGGGTGAGTTTGGCATAAATTGGGCTCGCCCCTGTCACATAGAAAACACGATTTATGTCAAATGGTGCTTTGTATATGGAAGGGGAGAGCCGAATTTATGCCGAACTCGCCTTCGGCTCGCTCGGCATTGGTGCAGACTTTCGTCACAAAACAAAAAAGTTCAGGCAGAGAAGATTTGACCATTTATCACTGAGCCTACGAATGCCGAGCGAGCCGAAGGGCGAGTTCGGCATAAATTCGGCTCGCCCCTGTCACATAGAAAACACGATTTATGTCAAATGGTGCTTTGTATATGGAAGGGGAGAGCCGAATTTATGCCGAACTCGCCTTCGGCTCGCTCGACATTGGTACAGACTTTCGTCACAAAACAAAAAAGTTCAGGCAGAGAAGATTTGACCATTTATCACTGAGCCTACGAATGCCGAGCGAGCCGAAGGCGAGTTCGGCATAAATTCGGCTCGCCCCTGTCACATAGAAAACACGATTTATGTCAAATGGTGCTTTGTATATGAAAGGGGAGAGCCGAATTTATGCCGAACTCACCTTCGGCTCGCTCGGCATTGGTACAGACTTTAATTATAAGACAAAAAAATTCAAGCAGAGAAGATTTGAGGATTTATGACGGCGCTTACGAATGCCGAGCGAGCCGAAGGGGAGTTTGGCATAAATTCGGCTCGCCCCTGTGACAAAAAAAACACGATTTATGTCGAATGGTGCTTTGTATATGGAAGGGGAGAGCCGAATTTATGCCGAACTCGCCTTCGGCTCGCTCGGCATTCGTAGGCGCCGTGATAAATTATCATATCTTCTCTGCTTGAATTTTTTTGTCTTATAATTAAAGTCTGTACCAACGAGTGTACCAATGCCGAGCGAGTCGAAGGGTGAGTTTGGCATAAATTGGGCTCGCCCCTGTCACATAGAAAACACGATTTATGTCAAATGGTGCTTTGTATATGAAAGGGGAGAGCCGAATTTATGCCGAACTCACCTTCGGCTCGCTCGGCATTGGTACAGACTTTAATTATAAGACAAAAAAAATTCAAGCAGAGAAGATTTGAGGATTTATGACGGCGCTTACGAATGCCGAGCGAGCCGAAGGGCGAGTTCGGCATAAATTCGGCTCGCCCCTGTCACATAGAAAACACGATTTATGTCAAATGGTGCTTTGTATATGGAAGGGGAGAGCCGAATTTATGCCGAACTCGCCTTCGGCTCGCTCGACATTGGTACAGACTTTCGTCACAAAACAAAAAAGTTCAGGCAGAGAAGATTTGACCATTTATCACTGAGCCTACGAATGCCGAGCGAGCCGAAGGCGAGTTCGGCATAAATTCGGCTCGCCCCTGTCACATAGAAAACACGATTTATGTCAAATGGTGCTTTGTATATGAAAGGGGAGAGCCGAATTTATACCGAACTCACCTTCGGCTCGCTCGGCATTGGTACAGACTTTAATTATAAGACAAAAAAATTCAAGCAGAGAAGATTTGAGGATTTATGACGGCGCTTACGAATGCCGAGCGAGCCGAAGGGGAGTTTGGCATAAATTCGGCTCGCCCCTGTGACACGATTTATGTCAAATGGTGCTTTGTATATGAAAGGGGAGAGCCGAATTTATGCCGAACTCGCCTTCGGCTCGCTCGGCATTCGTAGGCGCCGTGATAAATCATCAAATCTTCTCTGCTTGAATTTTTTTGTCTTACAATTAAAGTCTGTACCAATGCCGAGCGAGCCGAAGGGGAGTTTGGCATAAATTCGGCTCGCCCCTGTGACACGATTTATGTCGAATGGTGCTTTGTATATGGAAGGGGAGAGCCGAATTTATGCCGAACTCGCCTTCGGCTCGCTCGGCATTCGTAGGCGCCGTGATAAATCATCAAATCTTCTCTGCTTGAATTTTTTTGTCTTACAATTAAAGTCTGTACCAATGCCGAGCGAGCCGAAGGGGAGTTTGGCATAAATTCGGCTCGCCCCTGTCATATAGAAAACACGATTTATGTCGAATGGTGCTTTGTATATGGAAGGGGAGGGCCGAATTTGTGCCTATTAATTAAAATTTGAACAGAATTGCAGTTTGAGTTTGTATTTATAAAAATTTCTTTCTTGAACGACTGACTGCGCCATCTGGCGACCAATGCTTTTGAGGCTCAGAGCCATCTTTATATTGTGTCAAGGTAGCTCGACCTCTTGGTTACAATTCCAAGGTGTCAAAGACACGATTGTGGGCTGTGAGCCACCCCATCAGTTGCAAAATTATCTCGACACCGTAAAATAACAATGTTACTTACCCATAGCTACCCGAAATCCAAGAAACGGAGAGATCTTGCACATCGGCTCGCCATAGAAAAACTAATTAGATAACGAGCTGGGAAATAAAAATCAAGATAATAAAATTTATTGGTCTATTAAAGCCACATTCATCAAAGGTGGAAAAACAGAAGGCCAATTTTATTGTCAGATGCGAGGTCTCCTTTGAGAATTGTTCACGATAGGGGGACCGGTAGCAAAGTAAGAAGCCTTGAAATTCGGCATCTTAGCAGGAAGGAAATTGCGGTTCCTAGATTAGAGCCACGATTAAGTACCTTTCGTAAACAGTTCAGTACAATATTTGCTTTTAGCCGTAAAACCTACACCGATAAGATTGCGTTACGATACCCTCAGCTGAAAGACAAATACGCGCTACCTACGTACCTCAAAACCCTGGAAACCCTTCAACATCAAGTAAATGTCAGGGCAGCGAATGCATTGTGACAATTCTTGATAAATCGATGTCAGTCTCCAGGGTCGTTCTTTGCTCGATATCCTACTCTGGGCCGAGTGAAGACTGATTCTGCCTTGGACATCTTATTCGTGCACAGCGCGTTGATTTTATTAAGTCGTACAGCGGAAACGAAGGAATTGTAATTGAAACTTTCGATTGCAATCATATCGCAGGACTGAAAGAGTTTCGAGTCAAACACAACGGGTGGAATCTCGGGGAGGCTGTTCGGAGACACTTCCACTTTTTTTTAAAACGCTAAATGAGTCACAATTACACAAATTTGTTTAAATTAGTTTTGTTACACGAAAAATACCTTCGGGACTTCTAACAATCTGTAATAACGTCGACATTTTATAAATCTTCATTTTCGTGGCGAAATAATAATAATCTTTTAAGGGAGATGTCATACGATACCACCCCAATTTGACATACGATGCGCCTTTTTTTCGACCTGGATGCAGTTTGCGCGTAAACGGGGGCAAATTTCTTACGCCAAATTTGAGATTATCACGTTATTTAAAGAAAGACGAGGGGAGATTTTAAATGGAACAGCCACTGAAACGATAACACACTACACGAACGGAACACCAAGTGCGGACCTTCCGCTTTTAATTTTAAGTTATAGGAAGTGGGCTTGCGCAATGGAAATGTTCCAGAGCGGCGGCGTTGTCACGTTTACCTGGAAAGTGTGACACACGGCAATGATATGTGACGTCACGGTGGAACTTTCCACAGTACTCATTTCGGGCTAAAGTACTAGACAAAAAAAAATACCTCAATACGATACTAAAGTAAGTAGATAAATTGCGATAAACTAATTGTGAACAGTACGGAAAAGAGCAGGACCGAACTGAGCTGCCCAACTTTCATTCAAAGATCCTTAAGGAGTCCTAGAGTCAGTGCTTTAAGCACTCTTAAACGCTAAAATGCTCGTATATTTCAGGCATTTAAAGGACACTGAGGGCTTTCGAAAATGTACAAGCGCCAAAGGGGCGTTTAAGGGTTATGGGTGTTATTAAAGGATAGGTAGGTACTCAAAAGTTTTAAAACATTCTTGTAAACTTTTGGAAACCCTTATAGGTGTACGCAACGATTCTGAATGAAACGAAATAACTCCGAAGCTTTCTTCAAGGAATTAGGCGTTCGGGTCACTCGGCATTCGTAGGCGCAGCCTTAAGGTGCGTATCCACCTAACGAACGAGCATGCACGAACAATAAAATGAACAAACACGAACGAACCTGCAAGTCCGCTTTAGTTATACGCGTACCGTTACAACAATCTTAAAATGTATTAATTTATAACAGTAATTATTATTTATCACTTACTATTTATAACATAACTCAGGCGCATCGAAGTTGGAACTGACTGAAATACTCTACAATTTGCTTATGTAGTAAACGACAATTGTTCTAGAACGGAACGGAAAGATTAAGTTACATCCGATTTTGCTACTATCGCCGATAACTAATCTTTCATGGCGCCTCGATGTATATGGGACTTTCTAGAATGTTCGCTACATAACGTATTACCTACTTACCGGCTCGGCAACCACAGAATACAGCCACCTATTTTTCATCGCCCAGAGAATGCGATGAAGATCTGCACCCCTAATGATGTGAAACCTTCTTATTTTCCGCCAAAAGTAACACACACGATATTACCCCCCCCCCCCCAGGTAAAATAAGGTTTCGCCCTAAGGGGAGTAACTTTAGCGTATTTTCCATGCATTTATCAATATCTCCCAAAAGGCATGGCTATCTTGTTAAAATTTCAAAGAAATATCTCAATAAATAAGAATGTTGGCATTGCGCAATCTAGGCAGATGATAGGGGTTGATATGAGTCATTATAGTAAATTCGAAGTCCAAACTAACAAAAACCTGTGAAGGAGTCGCGCAAACCGTTTAAACTTTTCGTCGTAGTAAGATGATACTGGGAGAGAGGGTATAAGTACAAGTGAATTCGCCCTCAGAATTTAAGAGTTTCTCAGGCGGCGAACCTACGCTAGTTTGTTTCGCGCAACCAAATAGTGCGTTACCGAGCGAATCGTCTTCCTGGCGATATATAGAAGAACGAAAAGTATAAAGAGAACCAAATACCATCACCGTAGCGCCGTAGCAACGCCAGGAGAAAATTCCAACAGCATTTTTGGGAACGCGATACTCGAGAATTTGCACATCGGAAGACGACGAAACCATTCTATTAACGGTCCGTGCGAAATCTATCTGGGGCGATCCAATTTCATTCCCACATCGAATCAACAAACCACACCTACCGATTTGGCCGGTTAAAGCCGATTAAAACCCTTTTATGTCTAAGAATATGTGTACCAAATTTGGTTCCAATCGGTTCGGCCGTTTAGGCGGAAATGAGAGTGCAGACAGACAGACCGACAACGAGATTTTGTTTGATTCTGACCTGGTACTTCGAAACGTGTATTTCCGTAAAAAAGTGGGGGGTCTTTTTTACCCCCATGGGGTAGGGTGAGCCAGCCTACGGCGAGTTCAGCATAAATCGTGTTTAAACCAGAGTCGCTTATAAGTCTGGAAACGGTCGATAATTTACAAGGCATCAAAAAAAGTTTCATACAAAAGATTTGAGATTCTTTAATGTCTACTAGACAAAGGTAATTTGAATTATACAGGGCCGCTCTTAATGGCCTGGCACACCAATATTGCATTTTTTAATAGAACACCCTGTATATTATTCGATATTTTAATTTTTCCCTCAATTTTGAGCATAATTTGTAAGAAGCATTATGCCCAAATGCAAACGTTTTCAAAATAAAAGGTATAGCTTTAAAATGTATTGAACAAAGAACAATAATTAATGATATCACGAATTTCTTTTGAAAAAACTCTGGTTTTAGTGATCTCTCTGTAGATGAACATCAGGTATCTAGAAGCGTTTTATGTTGGGCGCTTCGTTACGAAAAGTGTTTAAAGTGCCGAAGGTATTTGTGCTGGTTCTAGACTTGATTTAATTATGTTTCAACCGCCGCTAGCGTAAACAAAAGCTGTAACTATTCCGCCGTTTGCAACCGTTCCCGTCAAGATATTTCAATTATTTTTGTTGCGTCCGAAAGCTCTTTTAGAAGATGAAAATTTAAGCCCGTTAGTTAATTATTACATGACTTTGATTTTCATTGTAGTATATGAAAACAAGCTTTAAACCAGTCGAGGCCGTGCAGCTTAGGTGTTTATCAGCCGGATATCGCCGACCCCGCCGGTTGATCCCAACATTTAAATAACTGTTAATTGGACTTCGGACTTTAGAAATTTCAATCCGGCCAATAAAGTAAATGTAATTAACTGTAGCGAATTAAACGTGTTGCATTAAACAACATCCGATTAAGTCGTGAGGAGTCCCTCTTAATTTTAATTTTAAGACCAATTACTGATTTTAGGACGTCATTAACCGATTACGCCGGCTCGGCCGAAATTCCCTGCGTTCGCTTTCCGCATTTGAACAAAGTTTATATAAGGTAAACGCTTCATTTAGAGGAGATGTTTAGCCTTTTGCATTTCGAAAGCGACGTCTTGTAAATACCGCAATTTTGAACTTTTCCGTCAATTATTTTATTAATTTATATATATTAATTACCCTTATTATGCTCTCTTGATTCCAAAGTGTCTGTGCAAAGGTCACAGAAACGTAATTAATTATTGAACTGTTAACGTAAACCTCCTCAAGATTACGTCATAAATCTTCTTATTTCAATACTGTATTAGGATCACAGAATCACTAACTATTCGACTTATATTCTAAATTCTCATAAAACGATTATACTATTTATTAAGATCAGTTTGTGTTGCTGTGATCCTGATATGCAAGCATAATATTTGGTATTAGGGGAACATAAGCTGAAACAGGATGGCTTATGCAATCAGGGCAGCATAACACCTGAATTTTCTATAATAATAATATATCAGATCAGGAGAACAATCCTACTTCTTCATTGAAATCTTTCTTGTCTGGTACATGTTTCATATAAGAGTAAAGAAAGAGAAAAGAAGCAATCTGTTACAGCAGAATAGAATATCTCAGCCCAATAAAAGTTTCTTTTTGCATCTTTTTCAGCCTTTTTAATGGATGTACTTAGTACAGATGCGATAACGCTTTAGATGAATATCTAATATCAGGAGAACATAATGAGTTTGGTTCTGGAAATTCTGCAGTGGCAACTTTGGTTTCATGAATGATGTGGTTTTTTTGAAAAAAATCTGTCCACATATCTATGACACAATGAGTAAGATATGGTTATTTACGGAAACGAAACTCGACTAATAATAGGTAACAAAAACTCGCACGTTTGTGTAACAGTCTAAACGCGTTTTAAACCAGAATTTCACGTTTCTTTTCCCAGTAGTAAAAAACGCGGAATTACCTGAGTGGAGATTTGCAATTATTTACAATTATGCTATAATTAAAAAAATATTTAAGGGCGAATTACCTCCGTAAAGACACAGAACACAACAACAACATAAACAAATGCGACTAAGTTTCTTGTTGATTCTAATAAGAGAAAGGAGGCACAAAAAACGAACGGATATTAAATATGCAATAATTACGCCTTCTTAATAATGTTACATAGTTATACACCCGCGGGAGATGGGTTCAAATCCGTTTCGCCTAACCTCACTTTTTCGCGATTCGCACCGGTAGGGGACGCCACTATTTTTTTTTTAAATCGCGCCGATTTCCTTCGAGAAGTTCGCGATCGGGGCCAACAACTACTTAAGAATAATTCCAAGAGTTGTTCGCATCATTATCTTTAATGCCCCCCATTAAAATCGGCAACGTCGCGAAAAGGTGGACGTGCGTCACAGATTATGCAAAGGCACGAAATTGGCCCCGAAGTGTGGGAATCGCGCCTACGTCACGAGTGTCTCGAATCGAGAAGCGAGATTGGGCAATCCTTTTATTTAATTGAGTCCCATGAAAAAAATTAGACATAAATTGGGTTTATTAATTTGTTGGCAAAATAAATTAGGCGTGCGGCGACGAGCTAATGACTCGAGGAAGTCTGCACTTTAGAGATGACCTTCACGCACAATCTCAGTAAATTGATCTATTTGCGGCTACGAGAAACTGGATCTCTGCATGGCCTTGAGGTAGCGCACTCTTTTTTTCTGGAAACTTATCCTCCATTAATACGAAAAATGTGAACCCACTGAAGCGGAAGAACAACATTCTAATGCCCTCAACCCTTCCACTCGATGATATATTAACTGTCACTTAGGCAACCAACATTCCACTACGACGACTACTAAAATAGAGGCAGTAATTAGTAGATGCACTCACGTAATTGGAGGGATTATAGGTAATCACCCCAGCTACTTACAATAAAATTGAATTAAAAATAGGGGTCCCCTCCTGGGGAATATGCTATTCACTCCAGACCCCCGGTGCTACTTTTTCCATCCAATCCAAAATGTTTCAGGTGAGTTTCGAGGGAGGGCCATCGAATTTTCGTCCTGTTTGCGCGGGAAGGGGGGAGGGATATTCAACACAACAGAAAGTAGTACCGAGGGAGCTGGTGGCTGTAGCATACCTTCCCCCTCCGGGCAAAGGAAAATTCAAGGACCTCTTAAAAATAAGGGTCCTCTTCTGAGGGTATATTCTACGCACTCCAGACCCCCGGTGTAGCGTTGGGCAAAAAAATCGATTAATCGATTATAATCAAACGATAATCGATAATCGGGTTTGATTATTCTATTAAATTAATCGATTAATCGATTATTTGATTAATCGATTATTTGATTCATCGATTATTTTTGATTAATCGGTTATTTGATTAATCGATTGTTTGATTAATCGATTATTTGATTAATAGGTTATTTGATTAATCGATTGTTTGATTAATCAATTAACGTCACTTTAAGCAGCTAAAATGAATTAAGATTGTATCATCAAAACTAAAGCACACCTCATCGGAGAGTAAGCTGCCTAATCATTTATTTTTATTTATTTATTTTTATTTTTGACCTTCATTTTCAAATGGGCAGGGTTTCAGCCAAGGCTGTTCTACCAACCAACCAACCCACTATGCATTTGCAAATATCCATGCCCGAACCCGGATTCGAACCAGGGACACTTTGTTGATTATTGATTAATCGATCTGCCTAGTAATGAACGATTTGATGAGTAATGGAATTATTTTTTTTTATTATTATTAAATAATTAACGTATTAATGCATACAAACAGATATTTATCACTCCTTGTATGTGACAATCGACTTTTGATTAAACGATTAGGTGATTAATCGATGATTTGATTAATCGATTATTTGATTAATCGATTATTTGATTAAACGATTATTTGATTAATCGATTATTTGATTAATCGATTATTTGATTAATCGATTTTTTTTGATTAATCGATTATTTGATTAATCGATTAATCAGTGTAATCGATTATTTTTCATAATCGATTATCGATTATTCAAACCCGTAATCGCCCAGCCCTACCCCGGTGCTACTTTTTCCATCCAAAATGTTTCAGGTGAGTTTCGAGGGAGGACCACCATCAAATCTTCGTCCTGTTTGCGCGGGAAGGGGGGAGGGATATTCAACAACAGAAAGTAGTACCGGGGGAGCGGGTGGCTGTGGCAGCATACCTCCCCCCTCCGGCAAAGGAAAATTCAATGACCTCTTAAAGATAAGGGTCCTCTTCTGGGGGAATATTCTACGCACTCCAGACCCCCGGTGCTACTTTTTGTTTCCAGCCAAAATATTCAACACAACAGAAAGTTTCAGTTTCAGGAGAGTTTCGAGGGAGGACCATCGAATCTTCGTCCTGTTTGCGCGGGAAGGGGGGAGGGATATTCAACACAACAGAAAGTAGTACCGGGGGAGCGGGTGGCTGTGGCACACCTCCCCCCTCAAGGCAAAGAAAAATTCAATGACCTCTTAAAAAATAAGGGTCCTCTTCTGGGGGAATATTCTACGCACTCCAGACCCCCGGTGCTACTTTTTCCAGCCAAAATGTTTCAGGAGAGTATTGAGGGAGGACCATCGAATCTTCGTCCTGTTTGCGCGGGAAGGGGGGAGGGATATTCAACAACAGAAAGTAGTACCGGGGGAGCGGGTGGCTGTAGCATACCTCCCCCCACCGGACAAAGGAAAATTCAATGACCTCTTAAAGATAAGGGTCCTCTTCTGGGGGAATATTCTACGCACTCCAGACCCCCGGTGCTACTTTTTCCAGCCAAAATGTTTCAGGAGAGTTTTGAGGGAGGACCATCGAATCTTCGTCCTGTTTGCGCGGGAAGGGAAGAGGGATATTCAACACAACAGAAAGTAGCACCGGGGGAGCTGGTGGCTGTAGCATACCTCCCCCCTCCGGACAAAGGAAAATTCAATGACCTCTTAAAGATAAGGGTCCTCTTCTGGGGGAATATTCTACGCACTCCAGACCCCCGGTGCTACTTTTTCCATCTAAAATGTTTCAGGAGAGTTTCGAGGGAGGACCATCGAATCTTCGTCCTGTTTGCGCCGGAAGGGGAGAGGGATATTCAACACAACAGAAAGTATACCGGGTGAGCTGGTGGATGTGGCATACCTCCCGCCTCCAGGCAAAGGAAAATTCAATGGCCTCTTAAGAATAAGGGTCCTCTTCTGGGGGAATATTCTACGCACTCCAGACTCCCGGTGCTACTTTTTCCATCCCAGACTTTTCGAGACCTCCTCACTTTCAGGGTAATTTCGGGGGAGGACCATTGAATCTTTGTTTTGTTTGCCTGGGGGTGGGGGTGTTCCATAATCGGAACTACCTTATCCGTAGCAATCTTTAGCGACCACAATACAACCGAAAGTAGTATCGAGGGGTCTGGGAGGAATGGAATACCCCACAGGCAAAAAAATTCGATGTCTTCTAAAAAATAAGGGTGGCTCTTCTGGAGAATATTTTATGCACTTTAGACCCCCCCTCTTCGCTCCGGTGCTACTTTTTCCATCGAAAATGATTTGAGAACTCATCTACTTTTATGAGAATGTCGAGAGAGCACCATCGAATCTTCGTATTCCATACCCTCCAGACCTCCCGGTAGTACTGCCTTATCTTTAGCAAGATCTGGCGACCACAACACAATACACAATAGTACACCCCCCCCCCCCCACCCCCCACAAAGGAAAATTCGATGGTCTCTTAAAAATATGGGCGCTCATCTGGCAAATATTCTACGCATCATTTCGAGAGGGGATCATGAAGTCTTCGCTACTGCTTTATCTTTAGCAATCTTTAGCGTCCGCAACACAACAGAAAGTAGTACCGGGGGGTCCGGTGGGTATGGCATACCCCCCACCCCCCTCCAGGCCAAGGAAAATTCAATGGCCTCTTAAAAATAAGGGTCGCTCTTCTGAGAAATATTGCACTTTGGACCCCCCCCCCCCTCCAGGCAAAGCAAATTCAATAGCCTCTTAAAAATAAGGGTAGCAATTAATTGCTTCCTTTGAAGCCTTTCATTAGAGTACCATATAGTTTGTGGACCTTTAATTAAAATACTATGACAGGTAAAAGCACCTTTGCCTCTCCCCCCCCTTCAGTCAGACGCTAATCTCGAAAATGAGTCGTGGAAGGCAGGTGTAGTTTGGAGAAACCAATTCTTTTCGATGAGACCTTTCATTAGAGTACTATGGAGAGTAGAGCGTGTATTTAGCCCCCCCCCCCCCCAATTTGCTTGGCACATAAGCAAACAGGAAACACGATTAATTTGGTACAGACTTCCATTAAATAACGAACAAATCAAGCGGAGAAAATTTGATCATTTATCCTTGCGTCTACGAAGCGAGTTCGGCATAAATTCGGCTCAACCCCCTCATTAAACATTTTAACATTAAAAGGCCGCCTGACATACATTCAAAATCCTCCGAGACTCTTCTGCAGATGTTTGCACTGAACGCTTTGACATCACCAATTGATATATTTTTTCCAGACGTCCCAATCGCCCTTTGTAAGTACCATCTTCCGACAATCCGTTCTGGGGAATATCACGATCACGAAATTTCTTTCGTTGAGACCTTTCGTTAGAGTACCATAAAGGATAAAACCAGCTACCCCCCCCCCCCTCTTTCCAACTCCCTCTTTTGATAAGGGGCCAGAAAGAAAGGCGGTAGAAAACGGTTCCTTTCGCTGGCTCCTTTAATTAGAATACCATGAAAGATGAAATGAATTTCAACCTCCTCCCCCTCCCCCCTCAGGCCGCATCACCCGCTGATCTCGAAAAAGAGTCGCACGGGAAAGTTATAGTTTGTACAAACCAATTTATTTCGATGAGACCTTTCATTAGAATACCATGAAGGGTAGAACATGCCCCATGCCCCCTCCATTTTCAAAAGTTTTACTTGCGGAATGCGTATGCAAAATCTGAGACCAACTGATTCTCGTATGTAAAAGTTATGCAATATTTACTTTCAAAAACAGCACCTCAGGAAATAATTCAACAATTCAATTCTTCAAAAAAAAGTGCTAAAAAATTCAGAGAAAATTTGACAATTGCGTCTACGAATGCCGAGCGAGCCGTAGGCCCTTGACTTTCTTAAACAAAAGCAGAATCAGCTTCAAAAAAATATGCCAGGGATGATAATCAAAAAAAGATTTGGGCGATTAAAAAAAATCAAAAAAGAGTGTTATTTTTTATAAAAAAGATTAAAATATACAGGGTGTTCCATTAAAAAAAATGAGGTTAGGTTCGATAGCTTTTTTTTTAAAAACGGCAGATTATTCAAAAATCATTATAAAGAAAGTTTTCTAATAAACGTTTTCCTGTATCTCTTTTAGCTAAGATAATATAGCGCCTAAGTTTTGTAGACCTTTCATACTTACGATATAAAATTTTGAGCTACCACAGGCGCCCTGGGCCTTTGTAGATTAAGTTTTGGACGTTTTAGGACAATCCTTGCAGTTTAAAGAATTTTTTCATGGTATATACCGACTGCATGTCGTAAGAGGCGACTAAACAACTGCTGATCGGCTGCAATACTGCGTGATTGAAGGGTGGAATGCGTCTCAATTTATATATTAGATTTCTTTATACATTAGTATATAAAAATATATATAATAATTATAATAACAAGTTATATAAAGGTAAAAATAACAATATATGACTAAGAAGTAGCACACAGCCCAGGTAAATTTTGAATTTGAATCATAATTTTCGCTGCATGTTTCACCTAAAACTAGAACAATAATTACGTATGTTTGTCATTTTGGTATATCGGAATTAGTGCGATAACAATCCTATTAGTAACTTATAATAACATTTTCATAGCCTCTTTTCTTAAAAGTACAATTTGGGTTAATTGACCGTTGTATGACTGTTTTCGTACGAAATCACCATCCCCTCTTGGTTCGGCTTGATTAGGTCGCTCTCCAGGTTGAGCTTCTGCTTGACGTCGGGCGTGAACGCTAGACTGCCGTGAGGTCCTCGGACTAGGTGGCCGATGTCGAGCCCGATGTGCTGCTTCTCGCCGAGGTGATGGTGGCCCTTGCCCGAAGGTTCCTGGCTGTCGAGCAGATTGATCTTGCTGCCACCCATTCCGAGGTGGTTAGCCTTAGCGTGGTGGTTGCCTTCGAGACCGAAAAGGTCGTTCTTGTTTAGGCTCTCGATATCGCGGTTGATGGCGAGATTGTTCTCTTGGCCCTGCTTCAGGCCCAGGCCGAAATTGCGGTGCTTCTCGAACAGGTCTTCGCTTTTCTTGAATTGGAGCAGCACGTCTTTGAGTCGCGTCAAGTCCAGCTCGAACTCCTCATTGTCGGAATTGACGAAGTTGACGAACTCGATGAGTTTCTTGTCGTTAATCGCGTGCTTACCGTCTTCGACCGTCTCGTAGAGCTCCCTCACCTGATCGCGATCGTACTCTGTTTCGTCCCCGATCTGAATACTCTTCAGCAAGTTGATTAGCTTGGAATTGAGCTTGAATTCCGCGTGGGGACCGGCCGGGTTCAGGTTCAATTCGGTCGGTTTCTTGGCCGGCCCAAATTCGAGCAGTTCGGGCACCTCCTCGGGAGGCAGGAGTTTGGTCTCGAAGGTCGCCTTGTTGATCGACTCTGGATGGAGTATTGAAAACAAGTCGCTGGGTAGCTCAGACGTCTCCCCTTCCTCCTCGCAGTCTTTGTTTTGAATTTTCTCGCACGAGGTGCATAGGCAGTTGGTGATTATCTGGATACGTTTTTTAATCGACTTTGGACCTTCCGTATTTTCGTTATCTGCGTTCAGGGTGACCTATCAGTGCAAGAGATCGTTTAAAAGCAGGTCAATTTGGGGATTATGAAGGAAATGGTGACCTTATTGCTCTCATTTTGAGTATTTTGGTTGCCATAATGTCAGAATCTTTCCAAAAAGCATAAAAGAGAACAAAAACTGTCCACTTCAAAATGACCTGACAAGGAAAGAAAATCAGGGATTGGAAGGTAAAAGAGTGAGTGGAAAGACATGAGAACAAGAAGAAAGAGGGCGAAGAAAAAAAGATGGAAACGGAAACGAGAAAAGAATGAGAGAAGGAAAAACATGGAAGGTGAGGTGGGCGTGGGAACAGAGGGAAGCGAAGCGGAAAGAAGGGAATAGGAAAGTGAAAGGACTTCAAAAGGTTGAGAAGTAGGAAAAGGCCACGCGGAAAAATATGAAGCGGAGAGAGATGAAGAGTACGCCACGAAAAAGAGGAAAAGAGGCGGGGGCAAAATATTAAAAAAGATGACAATTCACGCTCATTCAAATAAATTCGGTTTAATTCAAATTAATTCAAATTCACGTAAATACAAATCAATTCTAATTTATTCACGTTAATCCATGTTAATTCAAATTCAGGTAAATTCAAATTAGTTCACGTTAATTCAAAATCATTCTCGTAAATTGATGATAATTGACATTAACACACATTCATTCATTTTAATTAAAAATAATTCACCTTAATTCAAATTAATTCACGTTAATTTACATTAATTCTCATTAATTCTAATTAACTCGCGTTAATTCAAAATAATTCAAGTAAATTAATGTTAATTCATGTAAATTAATGTTAATTTACTTTAATTCCTGTTAATTCACGTTAATTCTAAATTTAAAAAAACCGGAAAAAATTAAAAAAACTGGAAAAACAAAGACAGACAAAGCAAAAAAGGAGAAAAATCAGAAACTGAAAACACAGAGAAACTAGTAGAAAGATATAGTGGAGAGAGAGGATTCTTCTAAAAAAGTTGAAAGAAAAGGAAATAATTTACTTAAATTCATGTGAATTTACGTTAAGTCAAGTTAACTGACAAATTCAAATTAATAAACGCTCATTCAAATAAATTTGGTTTAATTAAAATTAATTGAAATTAAGGTAAATACAAATTAATTCTAATTTATTATTCACGTTAATTCATGTTAATTCAAATTCAGGTAAATTCAAATTAGTTCACATTAATTTAAATTAATTCACGTTAATTTACAATAATTCTCATTAATTGTAATTACTTCGCGTTAACTCAAAATAATTCAAGTAAATTAATGTTAATTCATCTAAATTAATGTTAATTTATTTTAATTCCCGTTAATTCATGTTAATTTAAATTAATTCACGTTAATTCTAATTAGTTCGTGTTAATTCTAAATTTAAAAAACAGGAAAAAATAAAAAAAACTGGAAAAACAAAGACAGAAAAAGCAAGGAAAGGACAAAAATCAGAAATTGAGAACACAGAGAAACTAGTACAAAGATACAGTGGAGAGAGGATTCTTCTAAAAAAGAATCGAAAGAAAAGAAAATAATTTACGTAAATTCATGTTAATTTACGTTAAGTCAAGTTAACTGACGTAAATTCAAATTAATTCACGCTCATTCAAATAAATTCGGTTTAATTCAAATTAATTCAAATTCACGTAAATACAAATTAATTCTAATTTATTCACGTTAATTCATGTTAATTCAAATTCAGGTAAATTCAAATTAGTTCACATTAATTTAAATTAATTCACGTTAATTTACAATAATTCTCATTAATTGTGATTACTTCGCGTTAACTCAAAATAATTCAAGTAAATTAATGTTAATTCATCTAAATTAATGTTAATTCATGTAAATTAATGTTAATTTACTTTAATTCCCGTTAATTCACGTTAATTTAAATTAATTCACGTTAATTCTAATTAGTTCGTGTTAATTCTAAATTTAAAAAACAGGAAAAAATAAAAAAACTGGAAAAACAAAGACAGACAAAGCAAGGAAAGGAGAAAAATCAGAAATTGAGAACACAGAGAAACTAGTAGAAAGATATAGTGGAGAGAGGATTCTTCTAAAAAATAATCGAAAGAAAAGAAAATAATTTACGTAAATTCATGTTAATTTACGTTAAGTCAAGTTAACTGACGTAAATTCAAATTAATTCACGCTCATTCAAATAAATTCGGTTTAATTCAAATTAATTCAAATTCACGTAAATACAAATTAATTCTAATTTATTCACGTTAATTCATGTTAATTCAAATTCAGGTAAATTCAAATTAGTTCACATTAATTTAAATTAATTCACGTTAATTTACAATAATTCTCATTAATTGTGATTACTTCGCGTTAACTCAAAATAATTCAAGTAAATTAATGTTAATTCATCTAAATTAATGTTAATTTATTTTAATTCCCGTTAATTCACGTTAATTTAAATTAATTCACGTTAATTCTAATTAGTTCGTGTTAATTCTAAATTTAAAAAACAGGAAAAAATAAAAAAACTGGAAAAACAAAGACAGACAAAGCAAGGAAAGGAGAAAAATCAGAAATTGAGAACACAGAGAAACTAGTAGAAAGATATAGTGGAGAGAGGATTCTTCTAAAAAATAATCGAAAGAAAAGAAAATAATTTACGTAAATTCATGTTAATTTACGTTAAGTCAAGTTAACTGACGTAAATTCAAATTAATTCACGCTCATTCAAATAAATTCGGTTTAATTCAAATTAATTCAAATTCACGTAAATACAAATTAATTCTAATTTATTCACGTTAATTCATGTTAATTCAAATTCAGGTAAATTCAAATTAATTCACGTTAATTTACATTAATTCTCATTAATTCGCGTTAATTCAAAATAATTCAAATCAATTAATGTTAATTCATCTAAATTAATGCTAATTTACTTTAATTCCCGTTAATTCACGTTAATTTAAATTAATTCACGTTAATTCTAATTAGTTCATGTTAATTCTAAATTTAAAAAACCGGAAAAAATAAAAAAAACTGGAAAAACAAAGACAGACAAAGCAAAGAAAGGAGAAAAATCAGAAACTGATAACACAGAGCAACTAATAGAAAGATATAGTGGAGAGAGAGAGAGAGGATGCTTCTAAAAAAGAGTCGAAAGAAAAGGAAATAATTTACGTAAATTCATGTTAATTTACGTTAAGTCAAGTTAACTGACGTAAATTCAAATTAATTCACGCTCATTTAAATAAATTCGGTTTAATTCAAATTCATGTTAATTCATGTTAATTCAAATTCACGTAAATTCAAATTAGTTCACGTTTATTCAAAATAATTCGCATAAATTGATGATGATTGAGAAGTTAATTCATTTTAATTAAAAATAGTTCACGTTAATTCAAATTAATTCACGTTAATTGACATTAATTCTCATTAATTCTAATTATTTCGCGTTAATTCAAAATAATTCAAGTAAATTAATGTTAATTTACTTTAATTCCGGTTAATTCACGTTAATTCTAATTAATTCACGTTCATTCGAAATAATTCACGTAAATTAATGTTAATTCATATTAATTCAGGTTAATTAAAAAAAATTTTGAAGGGTGTACAACAAAAATTCGAAGTTGTGTCCCCCTAAGGGTACACCTAACTAGAGCGGTAACGAAAGTAGAATGTGAAGAGAAATGGATAAACAGAAAAAAAGAAGTAATAATTGTAAGGCAAAAGAAAATAAAGATGAAAGGGGCAAGTTAAGTTAAAGAAAAGGAATAAGATGGACAGAAATTTAAAAAAAGGGAAAAGAAAAGAAAGATGCATGGAAAAAAGAATGAAAATTAAGAAGATGGGAAGATGAAGAAGAATAAGAACCATAGAAAGATGATGCCGCCCAGAATGATTAGTAGCTCAAGGAAGAAAGAGGGGAGGGGTGCCTGAGGAGATAGCAACGGAAAACGAGTAGAAGAAAAAAGGAAGGGGAAAAGTAAATGACAAAGAAAAAGGTAAAAAAATAAAAGAAGAGAAGGGAGAGGGGAAAAGGTAAGGAAAGGGGGAGGTGGGAAAGTGCCGAGTAAAACAAACGAAGAGACAGTAGGGAAAGAGGATCATTATAAGGAAGAACAAGTGAAAGAGTGGAAGAAAAGAAAACAAAGATGAAGATATGGAAGCAGAATTCGTGATACAGATGAAATTGAAGAAGAAGATGAGGCACAGACAGATGATAAAGAGAAAAGAGGCAAAACTCTTCGTGGAACAGCTGTGAGACAGATAGAAATAAGAGGAGTTTAAAAAGTGGGGAGGAATCGACCAAACGAATAAAATAAGGCAGCCTAAGCAGAAAAAGGCAGAGAGCACCGGAGGCAACCAGGTGATAAAGGGGAAGCAAAATCAGAAAGAGATCGAGAAAATTTATGCAAAAAGTAGAGAAGTAGAAGACAAACAATTAGACACTGGGGATACACAGGAAGAAAATGAAGGTAAGAGGAGGAATCTTTGCAAGGAGGAGCAAAGGAACGGGAAGCATCAAAATATGAAGCTGAAAAAGGAGAGGAGATAAATCACAAGCAGATGATGCAGAAAAACCGAAGAAATTAAAAGAAGAAAAAGAAAAGGGAAGGGAAAAAGGGATACACACAGTAGGGTGAGAAGGAAAATAAAATTTAAAAAGAAATGAGATAAATAGGAAAAGCAAGGAAATGGGAAGACAGATAAATAGATCTAGAAGTAAAAAATGAGGTTAGTGAAAAGGAGTAGGGAAAGAAGGGGTAGGAAAAAGAAAGAGGAGAAGAAATAGAAAAGGAAAACCTAGGTGAGGGGAGAGAGGAAGTTAAAATTGGAGTTTAGAATAGGAAAAGAAGGAGACAGAATAGAAAAAGAGAAAGAATTAAATTCAACAGATGAGACGTAGGAGGGCGAAGAGAAGGGGCGCTCGGAAAGGAGCAAATAAAAAAATAGTAAGAGTGGTAAAAGCAAAAGAGAAGGAGAAGAGCAAGAAAGTAAGGAAAGAAAAAGGGCGAGACAAAGAAAGATTAAAGGTAAGGGAAACGGGGAAGGGAAAAGGAAAATGAAAAGAAGAAGGGGCGGAGAAATGGGAAAATCGAATGAAGAGAGATAAGAGATAAAAATGGCAGATACAGAGGAGGAGAGTGGAATTGAGATGGAATAGGGCTAGGAAGAGCAAAAGCGGGATGAAGGAAAAAGGTTGAAAAGAAAGAAAAATTAACATGAGAAAAAAGAATGGAAAACGAAAAAAAAAGAAAATGATAAGAGGAGGGGAAGGAATAAGATAAAGTAGAGGAACAAAGAGAACACCGTGAAACAAAACGAGATACAAGGAGACGAATTCGAGAAATATGAAGCAGAAGCAGAAGAAATTTATTTAATTTATTATTTAGAACAAGCAAAAGAGAAAAAACAAAATAGTGAAAGCGGAAGAAGAAGAGAAACTAACCTAAGAAATGGGAAAGTACAAAAGGCGAAGCAGAGGAAACTGAAGTAGAAGAGGATGAACAACAGGACGGAAGATCATGGGACAGTGACTGTGCGAAAAGGTGGTTACTTTGGGAAGCAACATCGTAGCCGATGCAGAAATTCTCATGGTGTTTTCTTACGAAAATCACGATCGCGCGCATCGCATTGAAATCCGAGATAAAAATAGAAGATAATTGTAATGGACGCGTTTGCGAACTAGAAAAAATTTAAACGCGTATTTTAGCCGAAGGTGAGTTCGACATGCACTTTTAGTGCCAAATTTTGCTCATTTTCGGCACGCTTACATGGTAACAGCGAGTCCTGGCCGGCTGACAGCTGTCGCAGTACGGCCTGATGAGCTCCCCCGGCTCCGCGGGTCTCGTTATCGGTATGCTGTAGCTGTAGCAGGCCCCCACGCAGACGTTGTTGTCGATGGTCACCGATTCGTAACCGGGCGACGCTACCACTTGCTTAATCGCCGTAGTTTTACACCAGGAGTACCTCTCGGGGTAGAGGACGATGTTGTGAATCTGTAATGAGGCGGTTTTTTTTTGTTTGACAACGAGAATGCCATTGAGAAATCGAACGGCTTACCTTATGCTCACGATCGCCCAAGGTTAACTGAATGGCCCCTAAAATTAAAGCAGCCTCCACAATCATCGCTTCGGGCAACTGAAATAAATACTTCCTTTTAATTTACATACGTTTTAAGGTAAAAGAAATTATTACGTCACTCACGAGATGAGTTTCGGTAGGTCGTTTGCCTTTCGGTTCTTTTTTTTTGGAGAGGACTTCAAAAATTTGATTCACGCGCCTTGGAAGGAAGATGTTAATTTAGCCTGATCATTCTTTGGGTTATCAAGGCGTACTTAAATACCGTTCTGGTGTAGGTGTCAATACTGGTTGTTATAGTGAAAGTTGAAGACTTCTCCGCTGTTTTACATTGATTGAATAATCATACAAACGAGACGTTTTTACGATAAAGTCAGAAACCAAACTTACAAAATTCATATTCTCCTGATACTAAAACTGATCTTTATCAGGAGCATTTGTGGTGAATAAGTGCCGATTAATACGATACCGTTTTCTTATACCAAAGCCTCATTCAATCATAATTGTGTTGGAAGCGCAGAAGTGGCACGATGTATGTTTATGTTCTCCTGATACCAAAACTAATTTTTATCACAAGCGAGGTTGCTGATAATGTGTTAACGCTCTCTCTAATGATCTCTAATGATAATCCTATTATGAGTATAAACGGACGAAATTTTCACGTGCTCCTGATACCAAACCATTTCCGAATCAAGAGCAAAAACAGTTTGCAGAATCATGTCGCCTTGATACTGAATCTCCTTCAATAATGATGGTGTCAGAAGGTATTTTCATACTCTCCTGATACTAGACCATACTCTCCTGATATCACACATTTTTTAAATCAGGAGCAAAACAAATCTATTTGTGACAAGGGGAACAATTCCCGAACAATGCTTTCACACCAAACTTCCCTCAATAATAGTTTTGTGGAGGGTGCCGAAGTGTCAGGAGGTATTTTCAAATTTAAGTGACAGGACGACATTTTGATGTGTTCTTGATATCACACCTTTTCTGAATCAAGATATAAAGGAGCAGAAAAATTTCGACAACACTTATTGATACTAAATCTTCTCCTGATATCAAAAAGTTTCATCAGAGAAATAGAGAGGGTGCGGTTGTGGTAAATCAGTTGAAGCTACCAATTAATGAATTACATTTTTCCAAATCCTCTCCATTGATAATCGTGTTAGGAGTGCAGAAATGGCAGAATGAAATGACAATACTCTCCTGATATCAAACCTTTTTTAAATCAAAGGCAACAAAAGTTGATTTGAATGCCGACCAATGCGTCTTCTTGACACCAAATCTTCTTTAATAGTAATTGTGTTACATGCGCAGAAGTGAGTGAGAAGGAGGTATTGTCATATTCTCCTGATACCAACACTAACCCGCATAAGGGACGTTCCATGGGTTGAAAAACCGGCGCAAAGTATCGATTAATGCGATTCGTTCTGTAATGTAAGGATGTATTGTCATATTCTTCTGATATCTAGCCTTTTTTTGTATCAGGAGCGCTAAATTTTGTATTGTCGTAAAAGTTTTGAAACTAGTGTCTCACGTCCTTATGAAACCAAATCTTTTTCTACAATAAATGAATTAGGAGCGCAGAAGTACCAGAACGTAGTTTCACATTATACTGGTACCAAAACAAAGTTGTATCAGGGGTAATCAAAGTTCTATTCGTGGTAAATTAGTTAACAGCGTTACGTTTCTCTAACACCAAAACCTTTCCAAAGACAGTTGTGTTAGGAATGCAGAAGTGATAGGAGAACCTTTTTGTATCAGGAGCGCAAAAGTTGTATTTGTGGTAAAAGAGTAGACAAATGCCGAGTCCGGAGTAGGTTTATTCTAAGATGGCTTAGTTAAGGGGTGCGCGAGTATCTCTAAACAAGTCTTTGACTAATTGGATGAATGGATGAATTTTTATTTGTGAGGAAAAAGGAGAAACATTCCGACTTCTTGATACGAAACTTTTCAGTTGTGTCAGGAGCGCAGAAGTATCACGACTTATTCTCATGTTATCCTGATACCAAAACTAATTTTTATCAAGGAAATTTGTGATCAATCGATAGAAAGTACCAATTAATGTGTTACATTTCTCTAATACCAAATACTCCTAACATAATTGTGTTGCGAATGCAGAAATGACAGGAGAACATTTTCATATTCTCTTGAGCTTTGAATCAGAAGCAACAATGTGTGGCTATGGTAAAAGTATGTCTCATATTTCCCTTTGATGCCAATATTAATATTGTGTTAGGAACGTAGAAGTGTCAGAAAGTATTTTCATATCCTCCTAATACCACAACTAAGTCGCATTTGGGGTAAATCACTAGAAAATGCTATACATTTTGATAATACCAAAACTTCTCAATGCTTAATGCTCTTGATGCCAAACCTTTGTTTAATAATAATAGTGTTAGGAGTCCAGAAGAGGCAACATTTGAAATCTCCTTTTTTAATTTAAAAATCCTCCTTGGAGTCGCTGTATCTGGCAGAACACACGGTAAAGTATCTCCTGGGTGTAGCGTAAGAGTATCAAAAAATTAACACCAATGTCTCATGTTCTCTTGATACCAATTATGTTTGAATAACAATTGTATTAGGAGCGCAGAAGTGTTCGTATTCTCCTAATACCAAAACTAAACCTTTTTAAGAGCATTAGAAGATTCATGCAGATCAGAAGATGCATTTGTGGTTACGTTTTTTTTAATACCAAAACGTCCCAAATGTTAGGAATGCAGAACTGACAAGTGAAAGTTATATTCACCTTTGCTGTATCAGAAGCATTTTTATTTGTGAGGAAAAAGTTGAAGGATTCCGACTTCTTGATACGAAATCCTTTTTAATGTGTCAGGAGCGCAGAAGTATCACGACTTATTCTCATGTTATCCTGATACCAAAACTAATTTTTATCAAGGAAATTTGTGATCAATCGATAGAAAGTACCAATTAATGTGTTACATTTCTCAAACGCAGAAGTGTCAGAAGTATTTTCATATTCTCCTAATACCACAACTAAGTTGCATTTGGGGTAAATCAGTAGAAAATGCTATACGTTTTGATAGTACCAAAACTTCTCAATGCTTAATGCTCTTGGTGCCAAACCTTTTTTTAATAATAATAGTGTTAGGAGTCCAGCAGACTAAATTAACACCAATGTCTCATGTTCTCTTGATACCAATTATGTTTGAATAACAATTGTATTAGGAGCGCAGAAGTGTTCGTATTCTCCTAATCCAAAACTAAACCTTTTTAAGAGCATTAGATTCATGCAGATCAGAAGATGCATTTGCGGTTACGTTTTTTTTAATACCGAAACGTCTCCAATGTTAGGAATGCAGAACTGACAAGCGAAAGTTTTATTCACCTTTGCTGTATCAAAAGCATACAATTTTTATTTGTGAGGAAAACGTAGAAAACATCCGACTTCTTGATACGAAATCCTTTGCAATTGTAACAGGAGCGCAGAAGTATCACGACTTGTTCTCATGTTATCCTGATACCAAAACTAATTTTTATCAAGGAAATTTGTGGTCAATCGATAGAAAGTAGCAATTAATGTGTTACATTTCTCTAATACCAAATACTCTCCTATCATAATTGTGTTGGGAATGCAGAAATGACAGGAGAACATTTTTATATTCTTTTGATCTTTGTATCAGAAGCAAAAATGTGTGGCTATGGTAAAAGTATGTCTCATGTCCGCTTGATACCAATTATTAATTGTGTTAGGAACGCAGAAGGTCAGAAGGTATTTTCATGTTCTCTTAATACCAAAACTAAGTTCCATTTGGGGGAAATCGGTAGAAAATGCTATACGTTTCTCTAATACCAAAACTTCTCAATGGTTAATGCTCTTGGTGCCAAACTTTATTTTAATAATAATTGTGTTAGGAGTCCAGAAGAGGCAAAATTTGAAATCTACTTTCTTTTTATTTAAAAATCCTCCTTGCGGTTGCTGTACCTGGCAGAACACTCGGTGAAGAATCTCCTGGCTGTAGCGTAAGAGAGTGTCAAAAAATTTTTCATTGTGATAACACCAATGTCTCATGTTCTCTTGATGCCAATTGTTTAAATAACAATTGTATTAGGAGCGCAGAAGTATCAGGATAAATTTTCGTATTCTCCTAATACCAAAACGAAACCTTTTTAGTAGCATTAGAAGATTCATGCAGATCAGAAGATGCATTTGCGGTTACGTTTTTTTTAATACCAAAACGTCTCCAATGTTAGGAATGCAGAACTGACAAGCGAAAGTTATATTCACCTTTGCTGTATTAGAAGCATAAAATTTTTAATTGTGAGGGAAAAGTAGAAAAATTCCGACTTCTTGATACGAAATCCTTTTCAATTGTATCAGGAGCGCAGAAGTATCACGGACTATTCTCATGTTATCCTGATACCAGAACTAATTTTTATCAAGGGAATTTGTGGTCAATCGATAGAAAGTACCAATTAATTTGTTACATTTCTCTAATACCAAATACCAAATCATAATTGTGTTGGGAATGCAGAAGTGTCAGAAGATATTTTCATGTTCTCCTAATACCAAAACTAAGCTCCATTTGGGGGAAATCGGCAGAAAATGCTATACGTTTTTCTAATACCAAAACTTCTCAATGTTTAATTCTCTTGGTGCCAAACCGTCTTTTAATAATAATAGTGTTAGGAGTCCAGAAGAGGCAAAAATTGAAAAATAATTTCAGAATATCAAAAAAAGTTCTTGCATTAATTAAAAAAAATTATTTTATTGGAGGCCGAAATTCCACATGCCGAACTAGTCATTCGGAAATCTAAAAAACCGATTTTCAATTCGAAATCTTGAAAGCGAAAATTTAAAAAAATTCAAAATTTCAAAAATTGGTAGTATACAGCCCATTTTTAATTGAAAGCTCGAACTTTTAGTTTGTATAACATTCGAAATTCGATACGCGATTCTAAAACAAAGAGATCGATATAAATGTTTAATCGAAATTCGCAAAAGTTCGCCAGTTTTTGAAATTTGGCTGAAAGGATAGTACCTACAATAGGGGGGTAAGAGTTGGGTAAAAGGGGGAGAAACAGTCCCATCCTTCAGTGGGCAAAACATAGATTTCAGTCAAAATAAAACTGCCTAAAGATCCGAGGAGTAGAGATCAATGATTTTAATATATTACAAGAGATCAATCAAACTATAGATCTCTTGGAGATCTCAACATAGATCTCGTCGCGGCTTTTGTTCGATACAAAGCCGTATATTATGTTGTAATGTTTCGTTTTGTTTTTTTTTGTCGTTCGTCATCAGATCGCGTCGGAAAATGAAAGTTATATTTTAGAGATCTCACCTTCCACATTTTCTGCCCACCTGCCGATTCGCGCGGCAACTTTTTTTGATCCACACGGCTATTATATGAAATTCGTATTTATTAAAATGAAGGACACATCCGGTTGGCAACGAAACGACACCAAAATTGCATATTTCCACACAACACAAAAATAAGGGGAACCTAATAGCCGTTTTCTACAACTGCGCTTAAATGTGTAATGGATAGTTCTACTTCACAACTAACCGAGAGAATTGTGTTGCATTTTCATTTTTATTTCAAATAACTAGTTTTAGTACGAGTTCTTCATTTTTGCGTTTACGGCTCGCGAGCGCCTTACTACTGTTTCGAAATTGTTTTAACGCCGCGATATTATTGTGTAGTAATTACCCGGAGAAAGCCTCTTGAAGCAATACCAGTTTACCTTCGATTTGTTCCATGCGGAGATATTTTCTGATATTTGCATATTAAACGAAGAAACTCTTTTTTCGAGTATAAGCGCCAAATTAGATCGACATTGCGATCGCCCATTAACACCACAACAGCAGCGCATTATATGCTATATATACAGACCTATTTCGAGAACGGAACAACGGCGAACCAAATTTTAAACTGCGCCCAAACGAAAACGTAACATTTCTGTAATTGCGCGAGACGGCATACAATCACTCGTAAAAGGTCACAGAACAACTGACGATCAACTTGTTCTTAGGTAACTTGATCATGAAACACACCTGGTTTGATTTATTAATTTAGCGCGGGCATTTCGAACTTTTGCCTCCTCCCGAAATTCGCTGACGTTCAAAAATCGTGGCCCAAATCGCAATTGCGAACCACGGGGCGGGGGAGGAGGGGGGGGCGGTTATATCACCGTCTGGGACGGATAACGGTTTGTAATATATAAGTGCGCAAATCTCTTGAACGGTCCGCTTAAAGGCTATAGCCGAAGGGGAGTAACGAATGGGAGAGATCCGTACGAGGAAATGGGGCCATAATTTAATTACCTTTGTCAGTCGGTTCTTTCGGCACCTACAAGGTGTATGGAGAGTTTCGTAGTGCAAACAAGAACAGAAGAAGACGAAAAGCGGCTTGCTTAAATACGCTGAACGTTTTAGATATTCTAAATTGCTGGATATAGTAAGAAAGATATTAAAGCTTCTGAAGATTCGCTGTTTTTTAGCGCATTTTTGCAAATTTATTTGTAAAAAGGTAGCTGTTAACCTCACTTCATCCGGCTGTCAGCAAATGAGGGTCCGTAGAAGAACGCTTGTAGAAAGACGAGGAGTATAGGTACATGTACCTAACGGAGGCCTGAAATTAAACCACTTTAGAGACATCTGGGCGCCATCTCTGAGCATGGTTTAGTAACGTGGTGATTTTCAATTTTTGTCCGTCTTCATCTACAGTTTTGGCCTAATTCCTAGGGGCGAAATATGATTGGTAGAAATTGATTCCATTCGTTGAGACCTTTCATTAGAGTACCGTGAAAGGTAAAATCGAACCCCCCCCCCCCCTCCACCCCCTTACCTACATATCTCGAAAGGAGTCGCGCATGAAAGTCATAGTTTGTAGAAACCAATTCGTTTCGATGAGACCGTTAATTAGAATACTATGAAGAGTAGAACGTGTGTTTCCCTCCGCCCCCTCCCCCCAATTTTCAAAAGTTTTAACTGTAACCACTAATAGGCATGTGTATCAATTGGTTGTCGAATGCAAAAGTTATGCCCTATTCACTTTCAAAAACAGCATATCAAGAATAATACATGATGGGGAGGGGGGGGGCTAATATAACCAAATGGGATTGCCATCCCCCCCCCCCCAAAACTCCAGGACTCCAGGACTATTCCTCATTTCCCCTAGAAGTATAGTTCTTCAAAATCGTAAAAGCGAATCCGGGTGGACAAAACGGAAACATGTTTTTTAATTCTTAAAATATACGCTTAAAAAAACTGGGCACCGAATTTACGCCGAACATTCGGCCGATCCTTCGGCTCCCTCGGCATATTCGTAGGCGAGGTCTTACATGACCACATCCTTTTGTTAGGATTTGGTATATAATAACGAAAAGCGTGTCGAAGGCGAGTTCGGCATAAATCATGCCTTCATCAGTTGAAAAATTTCACCCAGGATTCAACGATTTGAAATAGACGTACACGTATTTGCAGCGTAGACCATTGGGATCAGTTATAAGACTGAGCATGGTATTCGTTTTACCGCAATTCGACGGTTCACAGATTAAACATCTTACGCTGTTTGGAAGTAACTCGCCATGCGTTTTTTTGTGCTCCAAATTTTTAACATTAATTTATTTACACAAAAATACAAATCAGTTTCTTCACTTCCCCTCCAGATCCCCGGACCCAACTACCAAAATCATGCCCATTTTCTGATAGGGAATTTTTGCAATGAGATGTTCTATACGTCCGCATGCAAAAATTATGCACTATTACTACCAAATGGGGGGGGGGGGGGGGTAAGCCGAATTGATGCCGAACTCGCCTTCGGCTCGCTCGGCATTCGTAGACGCAGTGTTAAATTGACAAATTTTGGCTGCTGGAATTTTTTGCCATTTAACGAAAGTCACTGTACAAATAGCGAGCGGCCCGAAGGCGAGTTCGGCATAAATCAGGCTTCCCATATGGGAGGAGTGAGCCGAATTGATGCCGAACTCGCCTTCGGCTCGCTCGCCATTCATAGACGCAGTCAGAGCTGGGCAGTATTCGATTTTGTAAATACTTTTTAGTATTCTAATACTTTGTAATTAAATACTTTTATGGAAGCAGTATTTGTATTTGTAACTCAAATACTTTCACAAATATTTAGTATTCGAATACTTCGCATAATATTTGAATACTTAACCTTCCTTTTTTTTTTTTTACCAAAAATCGACTACTCCAAAATTTCCCGGGAAAACACTTTTTCTTATTTATTTTGGTGCGTAGAATCCAAAACAATTCATACATTTTCGATTAGACTTCTCAATCAAAAGTTATAGACTAGAAACCAATTTCGAAAAAAAATTCAAAGGGCTGTAACTTTTGAACTAATAGCCCAATCTTGGAACTGTTTGAAATTATGGATTCTACAGGCCACATTCTATAAGAAAATTTTTTTTTCCGGGTCGATCTGAGACAATTTTTTTTTCGGGGCTCAAAAAAAGGCAGTGTATAACCTTCCTTTTTTACCAAAAATCGACTGCACCAAAATTTCTCGGGAAAACACTTTTTCTTATTAATTTTGGTGCGTAGAATCCAAAACAATTCGTACTTTTTCGATCAGACTTCTCAATCAAAAGTTATAGACTAGAAACCAATTTCGAAAAAAAATTCAAAGGGCTGTAACTTTTGAACTAGTAGCCCAATCTTGGAACTGTTTGAAATTATGGATTCTACAGGCCACATTCTATAAGAAAATTTTTTTTCCGGATCGATCTGAGACAATTTTTTTTTCGCGGCTCAAAAAAAGGCAGTGTATAACCTTCTTTTTTACCAAAAATCGACTGCACCAAAATTTCTCGGGAAAACACTTTTTCTTATTAATTTTGGTGCGTAGAATCCAAAACAATTCGTACTTTTTCGATCAGACTTCTCAATCAAAAGTTATAGACTAGAAACCAATTTCGAAAGAAAATTCAAAGGGCTGTAACTTTTGAACTAGTAGCCCAATCTTGGAATTGTTTGAAATTATGGATTCTACAGGCCACATTCTATAAGAAAAATTTTTTTCCGGGTATCGATCTGAGACAATTTTTTTTTCGGGGCTCAAAAAAAGGCAGTGTATAACCTTCCTTTTTTACAAAAATCGACTGCACCAAAATTTCTCGGGAAAACACTTTTTCTTATTAATTTTGGTGCGTAGAATCCAAAACAATTCGTACTTTTTCGATCAGACTTCTCAATCAAAAGTTATAGACTAGAAACCAATTTCGAAAGAAAATTCAAAGGGCTGTAACTTTTGAACTAGTAGCCCAATCTTGGAACTGTTTGAAATTATGGATTCTACAGGCCACATTCTATAAGAAAATTTTTTTCCGGGTCGATCTGAGACAATTTTTTTTTCGGGGCTCAAAAAAAGGCAGTGTATAACCTTCCTTTTTTACCAAAAATCGACTGCACCAAAATTTCTCGGGAAAACACTTTTTCTTATTAATTTTGGTGCGTAGAATCCAAAACAATTCGTACTTTTTCGATCAGACTTCTCAATCAAAAGTTATAGACTAGAAACCAATTTCGAAGGAAAATTCAAAGGGCTGTAACTTTTGAACTAGTAACCCAATCTTGGAATTGTTTGAAAGTATGGATTCTACAGGCCACATTCTATAAGAAATTTTATTTTTCTGGATCGATCAGAGACAATTTTTTTTCGGGGCTCAAAAAAAGGCAATGTATAACCTTCCTTTTTTACAAAAAATTGACTGCACCAAAATTTCTCGGGAAAACACATTTCTTATTAATTTTGGTGCGTAGAATCCAAAACAAATCGTACTTTTTCGGTTAAACCTCTCAATCAAAAGTTATAGACTAGAAACCAATTTCGAAAAAAAATTCAAAGGGCTGTAACTTTTGAACTAGTAGCCCAATCTTGGAACTGTTTGAAATTATGGATTCTACAGGCCACATTCTATAAGAAAATTTTTTTCCGGGTCGATCTGAGACAATTTTTTTTCGGGCTCAAAAAAAGGCAGTGTATAACCTTCCTTTTTTACCAAAAATCGACTGCACCAAAATTTCTCGGGAAAACACTTTTTCTTATTTATTTTGGTGCGTAGAATCCAAAACAATTCGTACTTTTTCGATCAGACTTCTCAATCTAAAGTTATAGACTAGAAACCAATTTGGAAAAAAAATTCAAAGGGCTGTAACTTTTGAAAGAGTAGCCCAATTTTGGAACTGTTTGAAATTATGGATTCTACAGGCCACATTCTATAAGAACATTGTTTTTCCGGATCGATCACAGACAATTTTTTTTTGGGTCTCAAAAAAAGGCAGTGTATAACCTTTTTTACCAAAAATCGACTGCACCAAAATTTCTCGGGAAAACACTTTTTCTTATTATTTTTGGTGCGTAGAATCCAAAACAATTCATACTTTTTCGATCAGACTTCTCAATCAAAGGTTATAGACTAGAAACCAATTTCGAAAAAAAATGTAGAGAGCTGTAACTTTTGAACTAGTAGCCCAATCTTGGAACTGTTTGAAAGTATGGATTCTACAGGGCACATTCTATAAGAAATTTTTTTTTTCCGGATCGATCTGAGACAATTTTTTTTCGGGGCTCAAAAAAAGGCAGCGTATAACCTTCCTTTTTTACCAATAATCGACTGCACCAAAATTTCTCGCGAAAACACTTTTTCTTATTAATTTTGGTGCGTAGAATCCAAAACAATTCGTACTTTTTCGATCAGACTTCTCAATCAAAAGTTATATAGACCAATTTCGAAACAAAATTCAAAGGGCTGTAACTTTTGAACTAGTAGCCCAATCTTGGAACTGAAATGGTGAGGTAAAGTGCGTGAATAAAACGTTGAAAGAAACCTGAAAGAAATGGTGCAGGATTTAGCTTGTAAAGATCGCAAAGAGGTGTGAATGAAATATGAAGAAGAGGTAAAGGAATAGGAAGACTTAACAAATGTACACACGTACGATGTACTTTATATGGACGTACATATTAAGTCCATTTGTCACAACACTGTACCTATAGTGTATACGCACTATTTACGTCCAAAGTATGTACCTACTGTACGTAAATTGTACATGATTATATACACTGTACGCACATAAGAAGTACACGATAGTGAAAAAGTAACGTACATTGGACATATTTTGCATCTACTAATCAATATGAGATGTAGAATATTGACAGGAAGGATGGAAAGAAGTGTGAAAAATTTGGTACCCTTTCACATTTGCATATACATATATAGGTAACACATTGAACCATTTGTGTGCCCCATATCATATATGGTACAGAACTACATGCACGTATAAAACAGTACCATATACAGTTGGAAAAAAAACTATGCAATAAACGTATGCTAATCCATGACCATACAAAAGTCAATCCTTATTGAGTCTCTCATAAACAATCAAACAGAGAGATTGCCAATTTGTTTTAAAAAAGGTGAAATCATTACAACATAAAAAACTTTAGGTCTTTTAAGTTATAACAATCAAGACTGCACACCATATTCAACAGGGAAACCTTGTTCCTCATGTAACAATGTTCCCTTGTTGAATATGACAGACTCTTGGAAAATTAGAGAAATTCAAGTACATATATAATGGGAATAAACAAACAAAAAATTTAACAACAAACAGTACAAAAAAGCAAACATTTTTTGTGTATATTTATTACGATACCGATAATAAATTATATATAAATCTCATATAAAACAAGCAGAATAATCTTATACCTAATTATTTACAAGCATAATACAATAAAAACACGAGAAAGCTAAAAACGTTTCAAAAACTCCTCGGACACTATTCTCGCCCTCGCGTTAACGGCGAGTTTCATTTCGGAAATCTCCTTATCGATCTCCTCCATGAAGTGTATCACGAAATCGACGAGTTTATGTTTGTACATCTGCTCCGTGTGAAAATTGGTAATGAGAAAGCTAATATCGTAGCCCTCGACCGGTTTCCTCCTCAACACGATGAAGTTCTCCGCCCGCATCATCATGAATCGCATGAACTTCTTGCAGAGTATCTTCTCGATCTCGTCCGCCTGCTTGACGGCAATACTGATTCGTACGGAATTGACGGAGGCCTCGATGAAGACCTTCTCCTTTTCGTTTCGGGAGATGACGACGGGCGTCAGGAGGAGCTCCTTGCTCGATCTAACCTCAACTTCCGGCTTGTTGTGCCGCTCGACGACCTGCGACGAGAAGTTGTCGAGGCACATCGCGGCGGTTAACGTGTGCCGTACGGCGGTCAGGTACGGCCTTAATGTCGCCGACATTTTTGTACTTTTAATTTAATTTTCTACCTAAAATCGAAAAGGATAACCACACCTCGACTCCAGTCAACGATCGACGCCCTATCTAAAATTGACAGCGCTGTCATATTGACGCGGACGCATCACTGGAGATTGCCGTGTCATGAGCCACAGATGAGATGGTCTACAGGGTGTTTCCACAACATCGCAATTATATCATTACGAAATCCCGGAGCATCAAATAACAGTTCAGTCTTCTTCCATTTTGAATAACACCTCCTTAATTATGCATCTTGAATTTTGCGTTACTGAATCGTCTTGAATTATCTTATATTGAATTAAAGATCCTGAATGAAACTCACCGTCGCTTTTTAGTTCGTCGAAATTCCACCAGGAGCTTAAATGGCGCCACCGTCGCTTTTTAGTTCGTCGAGATTCCACCAGGGGCTTAAATGGCGCCACCGTCGCTTTTTAGTTCATCAAGATTCCACCAGGGGCTTAAATGGCGCCACCGTCGCTTTTTAGTTCGTCGAGATTCCACCAGGGTCTTAAATGGCGCCACCGTCGCTTTTTAGTTCATCGAGATTCCACCAGGGGCTTAAATGGCGCCACCGTCGCTTTTTAGTTCGTCGAGATTCCACCAGGGTCTTAAATGGCGCCACCCTCTCCCATCTTGTATTATTTTCAATCATCTTTTGGTAAATGAATTTTGAATATTAAACCTTAAATCATTGCCATTGGCGAATCATTATCTCTCACACTCTGTTGTGATTTTCTTGAAATCCACAATGAATACAGCTCTAAAGCAATTTAGGAGAGTTCTCGTAACCACTTGGACACAACTTAAGCGTCCCTTATAAACTTAAATGCTCTTAAAGATTCATGAAACCTCTTAAAGAATTGGATTCCTAAAGGCCCAAGGATCTAGGTGACCTGCATCTGAACGTCGAGAGCTCTTTCACACTGTTCTTAGACAGTTTTCATCGTCACAGGAGTGCCAAATAACTGTTGCTACATTAGTTACGACGCCTAATGCCGGGACTGACCTCGACTCTCAACTGTAGGCTTGAATTCTCTGAACGAAGGGCAAGTTACCTATTTCGGGGGTGAGATCCTGCTAACAAAAACTCTTCGGTTTAGAGTCTATGTGGTTAGTTTGATTTCACCAGCAAAGCCATGGAATTTTCCATCTTGCTTTTAACAGAAGTGTTTTATTGCACCAAAGGTGAGTCACCTGTTGCACAGCTATCTTGTTTCGATACCTGATTGTACCCCAACCACTTCTTTGTTTTGCAACTTGCTTTTATATCATGCTTTATTATATCAATAAATTGCAACAAATTATCATATACATTATAATAATAGTTTATTGAGCCTTACATTAACAAAATGACAATCAAGGAAACCAGTAAAGGCTAAATAAAGGTTTACATTATGGTAACCGTTTCACCATTGCTCATTCGATAATATTGACTATTAAAATAATTGATCAAAATACGAATTATACTATTACGCCATTATATTCTGCGTTCTGGCTAAATGTGAAGAACCCAATATCCTTCATCGGTTGAAGAATTTCACCCAGGAGCCCATATTTCTCCTTATTGAACGATTTGGAATAGATGTACACGTGTTTGAAGCGTAGACCAATAAGACTGAGCATGGTATTCGTTTTACCGCAATTGGACGGTCCACAGATTAAACATCTTACGCTGTTTGGAAGTAACTCGCCATGTTTTTTTTGTGTTCCATATTTTTAGCGCATTTCCACAAAAATAAAAAAAAATGCGCTATTGTGGCCACTTTGTCCGTCCGTCCGGCTGTCCGTCCGTCCGTCCGCTCGTTTTGCGACGCTACTAGTTCTTTATCTTAAGAGCTATTGTTCTACTTTTTTCGCCATTTGGTTCGTTATGGTGTCGAGTCTTGTACCAAGGAAGGAATTTTTTCTGTACCGCTTACAAAAAAAGTTATTGTAAAAAAAAACAAAAACCCGTTTTTTACATTTTCCATAATTTTACACTTTTGCCGTTTATTAACGATCCTAGAGATCGTTTATAATTTTGCATTGCTATCTGTCGCCTGCCGGTTGGTCTGTCCGTCTGTTCCTTTGTCTGTCTGTCCATCTATCTGTCCGTGTGAACGATAACTTTGTTTAGAAATGTTCGATCGCTTTTACATCTCCGTTAGTTATGAACTGAATTGCATGAAATTCAATATGGGCATAGCTTTAGCCATATAATACGCAATGCCAAAAGTTGAATCGAATCGATTCAAAATTCACAGTGCCCTTATCGCATCTCGACCATTTATAAACCGAATTGCAAAATTTTTTACTTATAATTGAATGAAATTTGATACATAGGCACTTGGAATAAAGGAAAATCAACTGCCAATTTCAAAATTTGGTTTTGCGCATGCGCAGTGCCAACTTTTTTATTTATGGAAAAATTTAAACGAAATTTGATACATAGGCACTTGGGATAAAGGAAAATCAAACGCCAATTTCAAAATTTGGTTTTGCGCATGCGCAGTGCCAACTTTTTTATTTATGGAAGAATTTAAATGAAATTTGATACATAGGCACTTGGAATAAAGGAAAATCTAGCGCCAGTTTCAAAATTTTATTTTGCGCATGCGCAGTGCCAACTTTTTTATCTATGGAAGCATTTAAGTGAAATTTGATATTTAGGCGCTTGGAACAAAGGAAAATCTAACATTAGTTTCAAAATTTAGGTTTGCGCATGCGCAGTTCCAACTTTCTTATTTAGAAAAGCATTGAAATGAAATTCTTCTCATAAACTGACATTGAAGTAGCACGACAAAAATGGATTGCCCATGTGCAACGCTATCTTTCATATTTGTGGCCGGATTTTTACGATTTTATAGAAGTTGCATCTTACAAATGGGAAATGAATGCAAGTGGAAATGCGCTTTATGTAAATCGTTTACGATTACTTTTTAACTTGTTATCATTAATTTTATTTATGCAAACATACAAATCAGTTTCTTCACTTACCTCCAGATCCCCGGACCCAAATATATGCCCATTCTGACAGGGAATTTTTGCAATGCGATGTTCTATACGTTATTTTGTTGCCTGGAATAGATTTTGTTTTGTTTTTTTTTTAATTCATCATAGCCTACTTGATTAAAATATAAAAACCCTTGATATAACTGGTATCTTATTTTCAATCTTATGCTATGATAGCTCGTTGAAAAGAGAATTAAAAAATCTATCAACTAATCTAAAAATCCAATATGGCACCTATTTAACTTTAGGAAGTTGGTAAATGTTCCTCAGAGGTAGCCATCTTGAATTTTTTTGACAACAATTCTAAATTAGGCGTATTAAACGCAGTAACTTTTATATAAAACTTTTTTTATCTCTTATGCTTTCGATGATATAGGACATTAAAGGAAATGGCCAATTTGAGTTTTTTTGCATTTACGTCGAACCTATTCGATATTTTGAATTTCCACAAGGAAATTTTAAATAAGCATCTAAAACTGCAAAACATTGTCCATTTAACAAATTCTCTATCTTTAATAATAAGAAAGTTACCCATGCAATCCCACCCGATCTGGGACACACTGTATACTTCGCAAATTCCTATACATTTATTTTCGAATGTATCACCAAGACAAATTGATGCCAATTACAGAAAACTATATTTCCGATTCTTGTAACACCAACACAACCTCACTAGGTGGCGCCACAATCGGAAATTCAAACCTACCGATACAAAATGACCAACAGTCGCAAATTCAAATATAACAACACAGAAACTAAATGCACGACCTACTGCCAGTCGTAACAAAATTTCACCATGTATATAAAACGTTCGCATCTCCCTATACATTTATTTTCAAATTTTACCGCGTAATCATGACATAGGGCAGAGCCAGAACAAAATGGCGGACCAATTAGGGCACTACGTCCACAACTCTCGCAATACCGTATACATTTATCACAAATTCAACTTGGTCAATATTCGCAAATTAAATTTACCGCCACAAAATGGGACAGCAATGACAGCGCAGCACGTATGACGTCATACAAAAGGGAGAAGGGATGGCCGCCGTATCATTACTCACGTGGATGTGCGATTCTAAGCGTAGGATGCCATGGAAAATGAGCAAGCACCCTTTATACATTAACAAAAAAAATACGTTACATACACAAGGATATGCCCTTCAGCCCCGAAAACAATACAATTTTTGTTTTCAAACGGCTATATTTAGAATGGAATTGCACCTGAGTACGTCACCTTGAACCCGAAACTCTTCAGGAAGGAATCGCGTGACCTTCAGTGCGTTTTTTGTTTAGACCACAACCACGATGACCTTCAGTTTAACTTTGAAATGAACTCCCTATACTTAATTACCATTTGCTAACGAAGCCCATTCGGATATTAGCTTCTAATAAAATCTGAAAACCAGTCACCTTTGTTGAAAAATAAAAACAAATTTGAGTGCACTTATTTATTACATACAATTAAAGTTAATAATAAAAATTTAATAAAAATATTAACAGTGTTTAAATATTTAACAATTTTTGGTAAAATTTCAAAGTGTCTCCGACCAAAAACTGATTATACGTATAACAAATATAAATAATAGAATTTCTAGACACAAAAATAATATAAAAAGTGTGGAATGTTAATTTTTTAAGTACAAATTCGAAAAGATCACGTTCATGGAGTCAAATTAAATTGGAAAAGTGCGTGGGGTGTTCAGATCGTCCCTTGTTTTATACAAAAATATAATGACGAAAACTTTAAAGATCCCTGACTTTGTAAAATGGAATTTTAGTACACTATCGCACCTACAAATATACACGTCTAATAGCTTGCGTACAAAAAATAGCGTCGACTTTATACATAACAAATACAGAGAGCACCTAAATCGGCGTCCGCAACTAACCAGGCAAGTTATATTCTTCAGAGAAACGAGATTAAATTAATCCACTATCACAGAATTAGTAATTTTGAAAAATCGAAAAAAAAAACGCGCAGCACCTACGTTTAGCAACTTCTCTTTTGGTACACGGGGTTACAGTAAACTTAGGCACTTTTACTGTCGATTTATCGAACGTTAAGAGTGAGAGAGTATTGCGTTACAATAATACTGATAATATATTCCCTAATGAGCAATTGGATTACGCGTCAACGTGTCATGTAAAACTGAACACACTCGTTTTCGGTACTTTCAAGCAATTGAGAGGTACTATACGGCGTGTTCCAAGATAAATTTGTCCAGTTCCAAGTTCTGTACTGCGTTTGTCGCATGCTTTTCAGTTATGTTCCGGTATCACTTCTATTTTTTTTTTAAAATACACAGTGGAACACGCCGTATATCGAATTTACCAGAAAATAGCAGCTATGGCACATCTCAGATTAGTTAATATGTACATTTATGTAACAGTAAAGCCCGATCACGACGAAGTCTTACAGTTTTGAGTTGTATGTAATACAAAATAATAATAATAATAATAATTTTCAATTATTTGGATTTTAATATTACACACAACTGAATTCTGCAAATAATTAATGGAGCTACTTATCAACAAACTGACAGTCTTATAACGCCGTAAACTCCTGCGGACTGCTACAACGTGCGGGAGAGTTGATATTAACTTTCGGATTACCTAGCACCTTCAAGGAGCCCCGACCGTACGTATTGCGACTTTTGAAGTCGAACCTACCGCTATCTCTATGATTTAAGGTCTGAATGATGTTCTTGACGATGCTGCTCGTTGGCTTAGGCAAATTTCGCGCACTCGCCGCTTCGGCTTCGCCCCCCTTGTTGACGGAGCTCTCCCTTCGCTGCACGAAGGAGACCGGTTTCGCCGCAGACGACGAACTGCCCGAGTCTCTGCCCAAACTGTTTTTGAAAATGTTTCGATTTATGCAAAAGCTCGAGGTGGCGTTTTTGCTCGCGTCACTCACTTTCGGACGGTTGAACGTCGACGACACAATATCCGGAATGCCGCAGAACTGAGGCGCACCGTCACTATTAGTCCGACCGGCGGCGTCCGCGTTATTGGCGACGCTTTTGACGTACTTCTGGGTGACGCTAGAGGGCGACAGGCTACCCGTTTTAATACTCATGCTTTCTAGACTTAGATTAGATAATTTCGGCTGGGTATTCACGACGGATTTCGGCTTATTTACTTCAAAGCAACTTTTTTTGCCCAAAAACTTTATGCGATCTTTCACGGAGATTACTGGCTCCTCCTCTTTTGAGACCTCGCCCAGTTGGTTGCGCGTAAAGTTCTTGGGCACTTGGCGCAGTTGCGGTAGAAGCTGTCCTTTGCTTGTGCTGTTATTCTCCTTGCCGGACGTTGCCGAACTCGCCACCTTCAAAGGCTCAACTCCTATGAATTTCTCTGTATCGCTAATGAAAGCCGCGTCGTTTCGCAAGAAGTTGATATTCTCGTACTCCGGCGACTTGTACGTCGACGGACCGAAGTCCTCGCAACTCTTCGTGCTCAGCACATCGCCGCGCGTGCTATCCGAATTGCGACTGCAGTTCTCGTAGCTCTTGCTCAAGCTCGCGTTCGTCGCGTTCTTCAAAATCGGCTTGACGTTCGACTTCCTGCCCGTAATCAGATTGTCCGCGCTCGACACCTTGATGATCGGCTTCAGATTGTCCGCGCTTAGCATGATCTTCGAATCCTTCGACGGCGCCGTTTTGCCCTCGCAGATCGGCTCGAGAATCGGGCTGCGGCAGCCGGACGGTATGCCCTCCGGAGTCGTGCTGCCCGAGGAGCTCGGACTCTGACCGCGGTAATGCTCGATGTCGAAAACTAAATCGGACGGCAGGTGAATACCGACCGATAGATGCATCGACAAAGATTCCAACCATACTTCGGTAACCTCAAATGGGGGCCTAAAAGTAAGCGGCGTGTTAGCACAATTTCTTCCTAGTTTTTTCGATGCGCCTGGTTTTTATGCCGGATAAGAAAAAAAAAAGATGTCGCTGAAACATCCCGTATATTTTAATTTAAAACGCTGTGTAAGTGTTCCACTTAAAAAAATGACGTTAGGTCTGAAAACTTTTTTACTGGACCCCGTATACTGGCAGTTTTAAATTTGGCCGGCTCCCGCTAACAATTTTATGCCCCCCGTTAAACATCAAGACAACAGTTACGTCACTGTTTTAGCGGAAATCAATTACACAAGGATGAAAGCTCGCCAATTATGATTATTGTTGTCGGCTTGTGCGATGAGACGAGGGTTTTTTCTTTTGAACTTGTTCTTGTTTCCTTCATTAATTAGTAATTGACGATTCGTTTATTGAAAGATACCATAATTGGTTTTGGGTAAACCCTGAGACCTCCTGGATATGATACTGACAAGGTATATGAATGAGAATCATTTCCTCTGATTCGAAGTGAGTTTCTTAAATGCGATTTTTTTCCCTCCGTTCGAAAATGTTAGTCGAAAGCCTCGCAAGGAGCTTCTAATCTTCTTGATTGAGGTCCCTTCCAAATTGCTTTGTTCTTTTATATTTGCACCACCCACCACCAGAACTCCCCCCCCCCCGCGCAAACAAAAAGCCCGGAGTGATACGCAGTACTCCAGTACATACATTTACACGGGTGCGCGACAGTGTATTACAGGACATACGATACACAATACCCTCCGTGCGGTAAGACGTCAATTGAGTGTTGGCTAATGGAAAATCAAGGCCCACCACCTGTTCGAGAGAAGTCCAAGCCGCCCTAGTCGCCCGGAAAATTTTCGCCGCCCAACTCAAAGGCGGAGGACGACTAACTCAACGGCCTGATCCAGAGAAACACCTTCGCTACAGGGGGAGCGCCTACCGCCAATCGCCACCACCACTGGCGGTACATACTATTGACCCTTCCACCGATCGGAGCGCCTCCGTACCGTTTGAACGCCGCCAAACAAATCCTCCAAGCAGAGTTGTCGCACATGCTGAACAACGACATACTAGAAGAGTGTGAATCCCCATGGGCTTAATCTGTGGTATGGGTGCCCAAGCCGGACGGATCCACCCACCTCGGGTGTCACAACCCCAGACAGCTACCCTCTGCCGCGCATCGATGACCTCCTCCACGCCGCCCATGCTCGAGACTAGTAATATATGGCCGATTCTAAATCTCACTAAATGAAAATCCCTAGAAAAGTCACTAGAATTGAGTGGTTCTGAACTGTGGTAGCGAGGTTTGCGCCTGTGCTAACGTCAAGGGGGTCGAGGTTTGCGCTCAAGATAAAGTATCGGAGGTTTGCGCCTGTGCTAACGTCAAGGTCAAGGGGTCGAGGTTTGCGCCTGTGCTAAGGTCAAGGGGGTCGAGGTTTGCGCTCGAGATAAAGTATCGGAGGTTTGTGTCCGAGCTAAAGTAGTTTGGTTTGCGTCGAGGGATTTGTCGATGGTAGTGTACGGCCGATTCTAATTCACAATTCTAAAAATGAATTTGAAGATGTGGTGGGGATTGACGCTTATATAAGCCTCTATATTTTCGTTACAAGGTGTCCATGTATTAAAGAAGTCGTGGATGGCATATGCTGAGGAATCATGGACCAAATCTGTCAGCACGTCAAGGTCGTCGAGGTTTGCGCTCGAGATAAAGTATCGGAGGTTTGCGTCCAAGCTAAAGTAATTTGGTTTGCGCCTGAGTCGAGAGTAATATATGACCGATTCTAAATCTCACTAGATGAAAATCCCTAGAACAGTCAATAGAATTGAGTGTGTGGCGATCCATGGGTGGATCTGGAACAGTTGTTTTTTAGTTTACATGGTGATAATTTGAATGTCATTTAATCAAATATAAAAATGTTATTAGTGTTATTTAATTCTATTCTAAACGCTGAATAGTGACCACACTACAAGTGGTTCTGAACTGTGCTAGCGAGGTTTGCTCCTGTGCTAACGTCAAGGTCAAGGGGGTCGTGCGCTCCAGATAAAGTATCGGAGGTTTGCGTCCGAGCTAAAGTAATTTGGTTTGCGCCTGAGTCGAGGGGTATTGTCGATGGCAGTGTACGGGTGATTCTAAATCACACTAAAATCCCCCTAGAAAAGTCACTAGGATTCAGTGGTTCTGAACTGCGCTAGCGAGGTTTGCGCCTGTGCTAACGTCAAGGTCAAGGAGTCGAGGTTTGTGCTCGAGATAAAGTATCGGAGGTTTGCGTCCGGGCTATTTGGGCCGGAGGTTTGTTGTCAGGTTACGGTGAAGTTTCAAGGTCGTTTAAGGCAATTTGATCGTGGTGGTTTACTTCCGGGGTAGGATAATTTGATCGGGGCCTTCAAGTAACTAGGTTTGTGTATGTGCTGCGTGGGTTCGAATGTTTTGCTTGTACGGTTCTGGACTGGGGTTTGTAAAACTAGTAAAGCTACTCTCGATAATGTAGGACTGAAATCACACCAAGTTGCTTTCGGGGTTTGCGTCCGGGCTAACAATTCTATCTCCTGTCAATCACCGTGCAGAAATCTATTACTGTAGATTTCAAGGCCACACTTTGGAAATATAAGGGTTTTTTCATTCAGTCCGATAGTGCTTTCCAAACAGTTAAAAAATGGATCTTAATGCGCTCAACAATGAAACATTCTGTAAAGCCGTCACGACCACTGACCGTCAGTAACTCCTACATCTTCAACCCATTCTGTGATCCCGATACGATTTAAAACTGATTGCATCAGAAGAACATAATGGTCCGACAAGAAATCTTGCAGTTTCTTGACCTTCTGTGATCCTGATACACCTATGTCGAAGCAAAAAATTGGTATTGAAAGACGAAAAGTCGTTTAACGGTTTTTGAAAATCACTGACCGTCAGTAACTCCTATATCTTCTACCCTTTTTGTGATCCCGATACGATTTAAAAATAAATGCATCAGGAGAACATAATGGTCTGACAAGAAATCTTGCAGTTTCTTGACCTTCTATGATCCTGATACACCTATGTCGAAGCAAAAAATTGGTATTGAAAGACGGAAAGTCGTTTAACGGTTTTTGAAAATCTCTGACCGTCAATAACATCTATATCTCCAACCCATTCTGTGATCCCGATACGATTTAGAACTGATTGCAACAGGAGAACATAATGGTCCGACAAGAAATCTTGCAGTGTCTTGACCTTCTGTGATCCTGATACACCTATGTCGAAGCAAAAAATTGGTATTGAAAGACGGAAAGTCGTTTAACGGTTTTTGAAAATCGCTGACCGTCAGTAACTCCTATATCTTCAACCCATTCTGTGATCCCGATACGATTTAAAACTGATTGCATCAGGAGAACATAATGGTCCGACAAGAAATCTTGCAGTTTCTTGACCTTCTGTGATCCTGATACACCTATGTCGAAGCAAAAAATTGGTATTGAAAGACGGAAAGTCGTTTAACGGTTTTTGAAAATCGCTGACCGTCAGTAACTCTATATCTTCCAACCCATTCTGTGATCCCGATACGATTTAAAACTGATTGCATCAGGAGAACATAATGGTCCGACAAGAAATCTTGCAGTTTCTTGACCTTCTGTGATCCTGATACACCTATGTCGAAGCAAAAAATTGGTATTGAAAGACGGAAAGTCGTTTAACGGTTTTTTTGAAAATCACTGTCCGTCAGTAACTCCTATATCTTCTCCCATTCTGTGATCCGATACGATTTAAAACTGATTGCATCAGGAGAACATAATGGTCTGGCAAGAAATCTTGCAGTTTCTTGACCTTCTGTGACCTTGATACACCTATGTTGAAGCAAAAAATTGGTATTGAAAGACGGAAAGTCGTTTAACGGTTTTTGAAAATCGCTGACCGTCAGTAACTCCTATATCTTCTACCCTTTTTGTAATCCCGATACGATTTAAAAATAATTGCATCAGGAGAACATAATGGTCTGACAAGAAATCTTGCAGTTTCTTGACCTTCTATGATCCTGATACACCTATGTCGAAGAAAAAATTGGTATTGAAAGACGGAAAGTCGTTTAACGGTTTTTGAAAATCACTGACCGTCGGTAACTCCTATATCTTCAACCCATTCAGTGATCCCGATACGATTGGAAACTGATTGCATCAGGAGAACATAAGGTCTGACAAGAAATCTTGCAGTTTCTTGACCTTCTGTGATCCTGATACACCTATGTCGAAGCAAAAAATTGGTATTGAAAGACAGGAAGTCGTTTAACGGTTTTTGATAATCACTGACCGTCAGTAACTCCTATATCTTCAACCCATTCTGCGATCCCGATACGATTTAAAAATGATTGCATCAGGAGAACATAGTGGTCTGACAAAAAATCGTACAGTTTCTTGACCTTCTGTGATCCTGATACACCTATGTCGAAGCAAAAAATGGGTATTGAAAGACGAAAAGTCGTTTAACGGTTTTTGAAAATCACTGACCGTCAGTAACTTCTATATCTTCAACCCATTCTGTGATCCCGATGCGATTTAAAACTGATTGCATCAGGAGAACATAATGGTCTGACAAGAAATCTTGCAGTTTCTTGACCTTCTGTGACCTTGATACACCTATGTTGAAGCAAAAAATTGGTATTGAAAGACGGAAAGTCGTTTAACGGTTTTTGAAAATCGCTGACCGTCAGTAACTCCTATATCTTCAACCCATTCTGTGATCCCGATACGATTTAAAACTGATTGCATCAGGAGAACATAATGGTCTGACAAGAAATCTTGCAGTTTCTTGACCTTCTGTGACCTTGATACACCTATGTTGAAGCAAAAAATTGGTATTGAAAGACGGAAAATCGTTTAACGGTTTTTGAAAATCGCTGACCGTCAGTAACTCCTATATCTTCAATAACCCATTCTGTGATCCCGTTACGATTTAAAACTGATTGCATCAGGAGAACATAATTGACAAGAAATCTTGCAGTTTTTTTACCTTCTGTGATCCTGATACACCTTATGTCGAAGCAAAAAATTGGTATTGAAAGACGGAAAGTCGTTTAACGGTTTTTGAAAATCTCTGACCGTCAGTAACTCCTATATCTCAAATCGACAGATTTGGTCCATGATTCCTCAGCATATGCCATCCACGACATCTTTAATACATGTACACCTTGTAACGAAAATATAGAGGCTTATATGTATAAGCGTCAATCCCCACCACATCTTCAAAGTCATATTTAGAATTGTGATTTAGAATCGGCCGTACACTACCATTGACAAACCCCTCGACGCAAACCAAACTACTTTAGCTCGGACACAAACCTCCGATACTTTATCTCGAGCGCAAACCTCGACCCCCTTGACCTCAGCACAGGCGCAAACCTCGACCCCTTGACCTTGACGTTAGCACAGGCGCAAACCTCCGATACTTTATCTTGAGCGCAAACCTCGACCCCCTTGACGTTAGCACAGGCGCAAACCTCGCTACCACAGTTCAGAACCACTCAATTCTAGTGACTTTTCTAGGGATTTTCATCTAGTGAGATTTAGAATCGGCTATATATTACTACTCTCGAGTAATGTCATCTATCGACCTACAGGCCGGCTATTGGCAAGTCGGCGCCGATCCTGCACCATTAAAAAAGATGCCATTTGGGCTACGGAATGCCCCATTCAACTTCCAGCGCCTCATAGATCACCTAACTCGTCTACGTCAGCGTGACCTGAAGGCCAGGCGAAAGAAGTGTTAGTTCGCAAGGGAGCAGATCCGGTACCTGGGACACGTCATCGCGGCCATCGCGGAATTTCCGGAACCCAGACGTGCTCTTGGTACAGACGATTTGTACCAGGCTTCGAACAGCAAGCGAAACGACTTACGGGACTGTTAAAGAAAGACGTAACATGGACACACAACTTTCGTTCGTTATCAAGACAGACGCCAGCCAGTACGCCATGGAAAGTACCGTACACCGGCCGAGTCTGCGTTTTACGTCCCACTTTAGAAAACAAAGTCGTGATACTTTGATTAAAACTTTGCGCACTAAAATTCTGAGATTCTAAAAAATTCTAGAACATTCACGAAAAGTTCTAAAAAAATTCTACAGTGATTTTTTCCTGAATTTACCTGCAATCCGGGTTCAGATCGGTACACAAAAACGCGATCTTGTAGAACGAGTCCGGACACGTCGAGCAAAACTTCTCCTTAAACGCCACCTGGTTCAATCCGAAATCGTTTGAGCGTGGAAGAAAGTCGGGATCGGCCTGCACGCGTCCGATGATCTAAAAGTAAATTACTCAGAACTGCCAAAAGACGCACGCGCGGCGCTTACCTCGCAAAGCACGATGCCGAAGCTGAAAATGTCGACCTTTTCGTCGTATTTATTCCCCTTCATCATTTCGGGCGCCATCCAGTAGGGATTGCCGACGACCGTGTAACGTTTCTTCCTCTCCTGCCGTCGGCCGCCGCCGATGCTGCCCCTAGGCGACGACCTTCTCACGCTGCTCGTGTCGTGCGACACAATACGGGCGAGACCGAAATCGGCAACTATCACAGTCTTGTCCTAAATTAAAAATCGTTTTAATCCGGCAGGCGAAAATGGGGCGCGTACTTCTCTAACTAAACAATTGTGCGAGTTAAGGTCTCGGTGTATGATGTTCATGGAATGTAGGTAGGCCATACCGGCCGCGATATCCTTCGCGAACGACACGCGTTGCTCCCACGGCAGCGGCTGAGACGAGTCGTGTATTAATTCCCTGAGAGTGCCTCCCGCTATGTACTCCGTGACGAGGTGCAGCCGCTGCTCTTTGTACAGTACGCCAATAAAGCGCAAAACGTTAATGTGATGCAAGCTTCTCAACACCGCCACCTACACAAAACTTATAGAAAGCCGATCAGGCCAGCAGCGACACTCACCTCCTTCAAAAAATTTTTCTGAGCCTCCTCGTCGACGCGGTACAGCTCCTTCACGACCATCACCTCGGAGGTATCCTTCGTCGTCACCTTGTAAACCTGCCCGAAGAACCCCTGGCCCAGTAGCTCCCCCTTCACGAGATCCGAGGCGCGAAACACGCGTTGCTGCGGCCTCGGCTCTAGAAACGAGTGCGCTCGCGACAAATCCGTGCATCGTTTCGAAATCGGTAACCTAAAACCCAATCACGTTAACTCCTAAAAAATCGCCGGCGACTTACTCGTCCAATAGCCGGCTCATCGACGAGCTCCTCTCCTTATCCAACGACTGTCCCACCTCCGAGACGTTATTCTTCCGCCTCAGCTGCCTCGACCTGGTCCCGCTCATGTAGCCCTCGTCGCGTCGTTTAAACAGTCTTTCTTTATCACCGGTACGTAGATTTTTAGCGCTTTTCGCATTATTGTCGATTATACTTTGGTCCGTTGGCGTCCGCTCGAAACTCTCGTTGTTGATCGACTCGGTCGAGCCGAAGTACGACGAGTCGATCGGTTTATTTTTTCGATTGGGAATGTTCGTATCGCTCGAGGTCGTGGTCAGCGGCAGGCTCGTCTTAGGCACGAGGAATGTTTGGCGACGTCTGGAGACGGCGTCGGGATCGTGCTCGATCGTCAACTGTTACATGCGTGTTAAGACGACGAACGAAAAGGTACAATTCAACAGATAACTAACTGACATGCTAAAGAGAGACACGACATTGCACCATAAAACAAGGTTACTCTTTAGTTACGTCACCTGAACATGGCGGTAAGGGTATGACACTGGTACAAAATGGAGCAGAAAACTAGCACAAAATGGCGGACAAGCGGCGAGAGTCATAAAATGGCGAACCCGTGGGCGGGGTACAAACAAAATGGCGGAAGTGGGAGCGGTCCGGGTTATCCACGCTTTGCTTAGAGGAAATTGGACAAAGACATCTTTTGGCGTGAAATTTATGAAATCGAATAAATAAGCTTGAGCACAATCATTGCCCAGGCACCACATACCCACCTCAGAACAGAGAAAAGAGAGAATGGAACAAATAATGGAAAAACTGATGGGAGAAAGAGTGGCAAGAGAAAATGAAAAAGATTAAGGGGAGGATTATGACGGAAATGAGGAGAAGGGAAGAAAGGCCAGGAAAACAAAAAAGAAAGACAAGGTGAAAATAAAGAATCAAAGGGAAGGTGAGGAAAGAACGTGATTTAAAGGAGATATAAAGAATATAAAGAAATCAGGCGAATCAAAACAGAAAAAGAAGAAAAAGTGAGGCAAATAGAAAAAGGGGATTGTAAGGTGCTATAAGAAAAAAAGAAGAGAGAAAATATTAGACAAATAGAAGAAAACGTATGAGATGAGAAGCCAAAGAAAAAGAAAAAATATGAAGAAAAGAAATTAAGAGGGAGGAAAGAGTGTAGAAGAGAGAAAAGGAAAAAAAAGGGGGGGGGTGAAGAGGAGCTATAGGAGAGGAGAGAGGAAAAGAAGAGAGGACAGAGAGAAAAGAGAAAGAATGAGAGAGGGAGAGAAAGAGATGAACTTCAAAAAACAAATTCTTACGGGAGCATATCACGCAAATTAAGCGCTGCTTAACAAAATTTCGCAGACAATGCCATGAATTTTAAAAATTAATTAATTATGGACCCACAGGACATTAATTAAGCGCTTGCTGACCAACATTTACACGCGATTGGAACAAATTTGAGCCGAGAGTCATGACTTTCAAAAATTAATTAATTATGAAGCCACAGGATACTAATTAAGCGCTTGCTGACCAACATTCATGCGCGATTGGAACAATTTTTCGCCGAGTCATGAATTTCAAAAATTAATTAATTATGGACCCATAGGACACTAATTAAGCGCCTGCTGATCAACATTTATGCGCGATTTGACCAAATTTCCGCCGACAGTGATGAATTTCAAAAATTAATTATTTACGAAACCATAGGACACTAATTAAGCGCTTGCTGACCAACATTTGTGCGCGATTGGAACAAATTTTTGCCGACAGTTATGAATTTCAAAAATTAATTAATTATGGACCCATACGACACTAATTAAGCGCTTGCTGACCAACATTTATGCGCGATTGGAACAAATTTTCGCCGACAATCATGAATTTCAAAAATTAATTAATTATGGACCCATAGGACACTAATTAAGCGCTGGCTGACCAACATTTATGCGCGATTGGAACAAATCTTCGTCGACAGTCATGAATTTCAAAAATTAATTAATTATGGACCCATAGGACAATAATTAGCGCTTGCTGACCAACATTTGTGCGCGATTGGAACAAATTTCGCGAGTCATGAATTTCAAAAATTAATTAATTATGGACCCATAGGACAATAATTAAGCGCTTGCTGACCAACATTTGTGCGCGATAGGAACAAATTTTCGCCGAGTCATGAATTTCAAAAATTAATTAATTATGGACCCATAGGACACTAATTAAGCGCTGGCTGACCAACATTTATGCGCGATTGGAACAAATTTCGTCGACAGTCATGAATTTCCGCGATTTGAATTTCAAAATTTCAAAAATTAATTAATTATGGACCCATAGGACACTAATTAAGCGCCTGCTGACCAACATTTATGCGCGATTGGACAAATTTCGCGACAGTCATGAATTTCAAAAATTAATTAATTACGAAACCATAGGACACTAATTAAGCGCTTGCTGACCAACATTTGTGCGCGATTGGAACAAATTTTTGCCGACAGTTATGAATTTCAAAAATTAATTAATTATGGACCCATACGACACTAATTAAGCGCTTGCTGACCAACATTTATGCGCGATTGGAACAAATTTTCGCCGACAATCATGAATTTCAAAAATTAATTAATTATGGACCCATAGGACACTAATTAAGCGCTGGCTGACCAACATTTATGCGCGATTGGAACAAATCTTCGTCGACAGTCATGAATTTCAAAAATTAATTAATTATGGACCCATAGGACAATAATTAGCGCTTGCTGACCAACATTTGTGCGCGATAGGAACAAATTTTCGCCGAGTCATGAATTTCAAAAATTAATTAATTATGGACCCATAGGACACTAATTAAGCGCTGGCTGACCAACATTTATGCGCGATTGGAACAAATCTTCGTCGACAGTCATGAATTTCAAAAATTAATTAATTATGGACCCATAGGACAATAATTAGCGCTTGCTGACCAACATTTGTGCGCGATAGGAACAAATTTTCGCCGAGTCATGAATTTCAAAAATTAATTAATTATGGACCCATACGACACTAATTAAGCGCTGGCTGACCAACATTTGTGCGCGATAGGAACAAATTTTCGCCGAGTCATGAATTTCAAAAATTAATTAATTATGGACCCATACGACACTAATTAAGCGCTTGCTGACCAACATTTATGCGTGATTAATTCGGAACCATTAACTTCAGAGAGAATAGTAATAGGACGCAGGGCGTTAAGCTACGCGAAGAGGGAGAGAGAAAGCGAACTGGTAGCGAAGGTGGAAATGTTGGAAACAAAAAGCAATGGATATCGATTGGGAGAGGTAGATGGAAACCCAAGCACAGAATTGGGCAGAACTACGTAATCAACAATAATAAAGGACAGAAGAACATTAAAATCATAGCGACTTGCAGATGTGAAAATAAGGGCTGGAGAGAAGAGAAAACGAAAAGTAGATTATGTGGTGAGAGAGAGGAACACATAGAGCATGTAATGTGGGAATGTAGAAAAACAGAACAAACAAAGATAAGCAGGAAATAAAAGAAAGAGGTATTATATGAAGATAAGTGAAACAAAGAAAAAAGAAGAGAGAGAGGGAGATAGGGACTCACTCTTTTCCACGTTCTTTTTTGAAAAGGTGCTGTATTGAAACACTTCATTACCACGTAAACAAAATGTTATCTAAACCCATTAACACATCTGTCCATTTTATACAAAAATGCCTAACAAATACATAATCTCTAAAGATAAAAAAATTTTACACAAAGAAACACCTGCAAATTGTGTTACAATAATAATTGATCAGACTTGCGGTTGCATTCAGTTAGCTATCTGCTGCAGTTACCCGACCAAAGATAGCCACTAACCTGTAAAACTGTGTCGGAGCATCGCAACAAATTCTCCACGTTCTCCAAAGGCGTCTCTTTCACGGGAATGCCGTTTATCTCCAAAATATTATCGCCAATGTGTAGGGACATAAGGTCATTGTTCATATCCAATCTGTCACAAACGTGGTATTAGTAGAAAAAGAGGGGTAAGCTACGAATGAGTCATGCAACCCGTTTTTAAGTAAAATTAATACCAACCTACCTATACGAGGGAATTAGGTAGCAGCAAAAGTTAAAAGCGGATGTTAAGAAGGCAAAAGCCAACTGCAGCAGTTTCCCTTGAAGCTTCCACACCATCCTGTACAACTGGTTAAAACTACCCGTAAAATTATTACGCGAAGGGTACTTACTGCGATATCGTCAGTCGATGCGATTTTCCGTGGAGCGAGTCGGAGTTAAGAAGGCAGCTTGATTCCACTCCTGTTGGTTAAAACTACCCGTAAAATTATTACGCGAAGGGTACTTACTGCGATATCGTCAGTCGATGCGATTTTCCGTGGAGCGAGTCGGAGGACAGCTTGATTCCCTTTTGCCCGCCGGGTATTTCGACTAGCCTGATCGAGTGCGGTTTGTGGGAGATGAAGGGAAATCGGGCCGTCTTCTCCAACGGCTGCATTTGGCGCTTATAACACTGGCCGCTATAAAAAATATGGCGCTGTAGTGTTAAGAATTGGCATTTTTTGAATTGAATGGCGCTGATGCTCTAAGGACTGTTTAACATCCTTTTGGATAAACTTTTTGGGGATTACAGATTTTGAGACTTTGGGAGAAGAGAATCTTTGATTTTTAATTTTTGAAATTTAAGATTTTGGGAATTCTGGAAATTTGTGGTTAGAGAATTCGAGTTTATAGAGATTTTAATTTTCAGGAATTTTTTTGTGGAATTCAAGATTTTGGAAAGAGATTTTTCAAATTTTGAGAATTTAAACTTTTCAATCTTGGTAGTTCTAAAATTCCTAGGATTCTGGAACTCTATTTTGGAAATCTTAAGATTCTGGAACTTGTTGAGACCATAACATTAAAATTTTGTAGTATTTTTAAATATTTTAGGTTTTAATTTTTTGAAACTATGGGAGCTTGGAGATTTTGGGATTTTTTCAATTTCGGGGGTTTACGATTTTCAAATTTTTCAAATTTGGGACTTGAATTAAGATTTTGGGGTGTCTTAAATTTTCGGATTTCTAGATTTTGGGACTTCGGGAGAAGAGAATCTTAGATTTTTAATTATTGACAATTAAGATTTTGGGAATTCTAGAAATTTGGGAATTTACGGTTTTGCGAATTCTAGGTAAAGGACATTTATTAAATTTCAGCAAAATAGTTGAAAAAATTCAAGATTTTGGGTTTTGAAAATTTTATAAATGTGAAACTCCGGAAATGAGAGTTTTGTTGCAAATTTCGCATTTTAAAATTTTGAGATTATAGGCATTTTAAATTTTGGTGATTCTAAAATTTTGGAAGGCTTAAAATTTATGATTTTGAGAATTCGATGTTATGGATGGTTCAGTAGAATTTTTTATGGAATTCAAGAAATTTAAGATTTTTGAAATTTTGGGATTTTGGACTTTTGAGAATCTGAATTTTTAAAATTTTGCAAATTTCATATTCCAGTGACTACTTTTTCCCTTGCGCTCCTTTTTTACCGTGGCGTATTATAGAAGTGGAAATCTTAAGATTCTAGAACGTAGAGAGATCTTAGGAGTTTTTTCAATTTCTAGGACTAAAAGATTTGGTTAAGTTGAGACCATAGAAATTTGAGGTTTTGGGAATTTCATGTTGTATTTTTAAGGATTTTAGATTTTGATTTTTTGAGATCATGGGAGTTTTGAGATTTTGGGAATTCAAAATTTTTGAAATTTCGGGAATTTAGACTTTTTAGAATTTGAGTTTTTGAGATTATAGGTAGACATTTTAAATTTTGGCAGTTCTAAAATTTTGGAAATCTTAAAAGATTCTGGAATTTACGTGATTTTGTAAAGTTGAGATACCATGGAAATTTGATATTTTGGGAATACGAGAGTTTAGAAATAGCGGGATTTGGATTTATAGAACTTAAGGTTTTAAAATGTTGCAAATTTCATATTCTGGGATTTTAAAATTTTGAGATTATAGAAATTTTAAATTTTGGTAGTTCTAACATTCTGGTAGTCTTAAGATTCTGGAACTTACAGATTTATCAAATTGATATAAATATAGACAAATTTTGCGAAGTTGATATTTTAGTATTTTTAAGAATTTTAGGAATTCGAGATTTTTGAAATTTTGCAAATCCCATATTTTGGAATGCTGGGGTTATAGACATTTTAAATTTTGGTAGTTTGAAAATGTTGGAAGTCTAAGATTCTGGAACTTACGTTGAGACCAGAAATTTGAGATTTTTGAAATTTCGGAAATATGAATGAGTTTTTGAAATTTTGCAAATTTCATATTTTGGGATTATGAAATTTTGAGATAATAGACATTACAAATTTTGATAGTTCTAAAATTTTTGAAGTCTTGATATTCTCGAAGTCTTAAGATTCTGGAACTTGGAAATTTTTTTACGTTGAGTTTTTGAAATTGAATGAATGAATATGAAATTTCATATTTTGGAATTTTAAGATTAGGTATTTATTTTTTTTTTATTTACCTTTATTTAATAAACATTTTAAATTTTGGTAGTTCTTAATTCATAAAATATTTTGTTTAGACCATAGAAAGTTGAAATGTTGAGAATTTGATATTATAATAGTTTTATGGATTTTGATTTTTTGAGATCATTGAGATTTTGAGAATTCACGATTTTTGAAACTTTGGGAATTTGAAATTTTAGGAACTATGATTTTAGAGATATATTGAGGTTTTGAAGTTTTTTAGATTCTTTGAATTTTGTAATTTTTTTTAATTCTTTCTTTTCCTGAATTTTTTAATTTGTATTTGAAGCAACGTTACATTTTGTTGTATACTTGCATTGAGTAATCTTTAGGATTTTTTAATGTTTTGTATTTGTGTATATTTTTAAAGATTTTAGATCGGGATTTTTAAAATTCAGGGAATTTGAACTTTTTAGAATTCGAGTATGTATTCATATTTTGGTTCCAATTTTTGGAACCCTATTTTGGAAGTCTTAAAATTATATATTGTCGTATTTTTTAAGGATTTCGATTTTTTGGGATCATAGGGGTTTTGAGATTTTGGGAATTCGAGATTTTTGAAATTTCGGGAATTACGAGTTCCTGAAATTTTGCAAACATTTTATGATTTTGAAAATTTAAGATTTTAATCTTTTAAATGTTGGTTGTTAGTACCCCCTTCCCCTTAAGAGCGGGTAACCCTATGTTGCAGGATCGATGATCCACCCGACCGTGCACCGCTCAAACCATGCGCGCCCCCAAATGTTTTGATAAAATCATCGATACCTCCCCTCCCCCATGTTTCAAGTTATCTCACCCCAATTTTATTTAAAAAAACAACTTTCCAGTATCCCAAAATGCATTTCAGGCTCTCCAGACCAATCGAATCGTTTCTTGATCCTTCTAAGTACTCACCCCCGCCTTTTCACAGCACTCTAATACTATCCAGAGATTGTAATTGCCAGGAAAAGAACTAGAAATCTCTAGAGGAGCTAAGGGCTCTCTCTACAACTTCTCATTGTCGTGGCAACTAGCCGACTTATCAAATTGTAACTTAAAAGAGAGGAACCTACCAATACAACTTGGAGCGTTCGACCAACGCGTACGAATCCCCGTCGCCGATAAACAGCCCGCACGATCCGCAACAGAAACATTCCGGATGGAACTTGTGATCGCCGGCGACCATCACCGGCCCCGTGATTATCTGACTGCACTGCTGGCAGCACTCGCCGTACCGCGTCCAGTAATCGTCGCGGCAGAACAGCAGTCCGTCCTTTTCGAAGTACCAATTCGAGAGGGACGCGTCGCACGCCGAGCACCTAAAAGTGAACTTTGTGCGTAAACGAAGCGAGGGCAAAAAATCCGGGTACAAACCTGAAGCATTCCAGATGCCATTCTTGACCCAGAGCGCATATAAATTCCTCATCGTCCAAAACATTTAAGCAGCCAGCACAAAAAGAGTCGGAATGTTGGTCGGTTTCAGCTGTAAAAAATAAGTGCGCCTGTGTAAATGGGACTTACAAACACTGTGACTTTAAAGGGTTATAAACAAACAATTCGGGACGTTTAGAACAAAATTGGGGAATAATCGGGCGAGCTCGTTGGAAAATTGAATTATTTTAAAGGGATTTTGGAGTTGGAGGTGTTGATGTAGGTGGATCACCCACGCACAAGTTTTTGTGTGGAAACGTTGCGAATTTCCCGAAGTTTTCCAATTTTTCTTTAGCTCACACTATTCCGTAAGGTTTCAGCTTGTTTACGTACCATTTTCTGCTTGTTGATACATTTTTTATACACTAAAACGAATAATTAACTCATCATGGATTCCTCTTAACACTAAGAAAAGCCAGGTTCAACACGACAAATTCCTAAGCGTGATTAATATGACAAATAAACAATGCTATACAGGGTGGACATCAGAAATAGTCCGATCTGACGGTTGAAATCTTAGACAAGGAAAGAGACGTTGAAACACAGAATTAGCGTCGCCGTAGCAGTAAAAAGGACATCCATTCTATGTATCTGTGCACAGGGTAGCCCTACCAGGCAGCACTTAGGCACACCAAAGGCCCATTGTAGGTTCCAAAGAGCTGATCCACAGGATCGTCACTATACCCACACCGACAATACCACATACCATTCCTTTCGTCACGATTAGAGCACCGATGACGGAATTTTTACTTATCCCTCCCCCACTTTTACAAATTAGCTCAAAACCAACAAAAAATTGGACAGACGGACAGCTGTCTGCCAATTCATAAAAACAGAGGTAAGGAATATTTATTTGTCAAACTAAATACACGTGAAGTTTATTACATGTATAGCTTGCTCGTTTTGCCATCCGAAACCACCTTCGAACCGCCATTTTGTTTTGGGTCCGAATCATGGTTCGGCTTTTGCTCGCCCCCTTGCCCTTTGGGTTTTTCGGTGTGATCAGGCTGTTTTTGGTCTTGGTGCTGATCCTTGCCTATCGACTGAACCATCTCGTTGAGTTTTTTCGCCACGTTTTCCACGACGTCCTTCACCTTCTGAAACATCGTTTTCAAAAGGGATTTTACGCTATCGTGGATGATGGATACGGTGTGCACAATTGCCTTGCCCAGGTCATCTTCAGCAAACGTCCCCTGCAAAACTAAGGTAACATAAAGTTCTCAATAGAGGTCTCTACCTGAGCGATTGTTAAGATCACGGCAGCAACCACAACTACGGCCCTCATTCTTCACTCTAACGATTGTGTAAACTTTTCAGTTTTGTATGGCAAATAAACAGAATTCATTAAATTGGGGCAATTATATTCGCGTTGTTGATCAAATTGTGTTTAATGGGCCAAATCCGTACATTGTGCACTGCCTGTGGTTGCTTTGTAAGTGGATAAATGGCCAAAAAAACTAAAATATGTTATGCAATACAATTGATTTTTCAATTTTTTGTCGAATGCGAGATATTGCTACGCAAAAATTTAGCAAGTCCCTTATTTTTGAGTTCATAGGAATAAAATTAATAAGAGAAAGAGCCCGGAGTGTAGTGTAGTGTAGTGTAGTGATGTAGTGTAGTGTAGTGGTGTAGTGTAGTGTAGTGGTGTAGTGTAGTGGTGTAGTGTAGTAGTGCAGTGTAGTGGCGTTCAAGGGAGAAAACCTTGAGGCTTTGTCTCATTCTAAAAGGTCTTCAAGAACCTAGCAGAGCCTTGAATGGTCTTTCTCGGAGAATTGAGAGGTTTTGAGAAATCTCTATGGGAAACTGATATAGTCTTTTAGAGTTTTAAGGGTCTTTTCAATACACTAAAAAGTCTTGAAAAACCTTAAAAAATGTAGCGGGATTTTAAAGATTTTTTTGGGGATTTGCGTAGTTTTTTCGAGGTTCCTAAGGGATAATAAGCTAAATGGTGCTGAAAGACCATAAAACATAATGCAGGGATTTGAACTGTGTCGTAACGGTTTTCTCACGGCACGAAAAGGTTTTGAGAAGCCTTTCTATGGTCTAGCAAATCTCTGAAGGGTCTTTTATAGTGAGACCTATATGACCTATAAAACCCGTGAGGGTCTTCTCAAAGCAATGAAAGACCTTGAAGGCCCATAAAAAAAGTTTAACGGAGCTTTGACGCGTCTTTTAGGAAATATACGTGTCGTGAAGGTCTTCCTAAGGCACTAAAAGGGTCCTGCAGACTCTTAAATACATTTAGAGGATCTGTGAAGAGTACCTTCGGGGGACCTATATAAGGGTCGTGAAGGTCATCTTAAGGTACTAAAAGGTCGTAAAGAACTTTAAAAATGTTTAACCGAGCCTTGAAGGGTCTGTTTAGAAAACTTGAGGGTCGTGAAGGTTTTCTCAAAGCACTGAAAGGTCTTGAAGAGCCTTAAAAAGGTGTAGAAGGTCGTTGACGGGTCGGTTTGGGAGACATAAGGTCAATAAGAGTCGTGAAAGCCTTCTCAAGCCACTGAAAGATCGTGCAGAGCCCTAAAAAAGTTTATCGGAGCTTTGAAGAGACTTTTGCGAGACTTATTTGGTCCATAACAGTCGTGAAGGTCTCCTAAAGGCATGAAAGGGTCTTGAAGCGTTTTGAAAAGGTTTAGAGGAGCCTTGAAGGAGACTTATATAATCAATAAGAGTCGTGAAGGTTTTCAAGGTGCAGAAAGGTGTTGAAGAGCCTTAAAAAAGTGTATCGGAGGCTTGAAGGGTCTTTTTGGAAAACTTATAGGGTCCATAACGCGTAGCGTAGCTTTGAAGGGCCTCTTTGAGAGACTATGACCTACTGGAGTCATGAAGGTCTTCTCAAACCACTGAAATGTCTTGAGCTTTAAAAAAGTGCAGCAGAGAAACTTATATGGCCCACATGAGTCGTGAAAGTCTTGTCAAGGCACTAAATGGTTTTGAAGAGCCTTAAAAAGGCTTAGCGAAGCTTTAAACGGCCCTTTTGGGAGACAACATATATGAAGAATTAGTGAAAAGGTCTTCTCAAGACACTTAAAGGCCTTTAAAAAGATTAACATTTAGCTTTGCAGGAAGAAACTTTGAGCTTTAAAAAAGTGCAGCTCTTATATGGCCCATTCTTGTGGCACTAAAAGAGCCTCTTCTCAAGACACTGAGACGCCTTTAAAAACCTTAAAAAGGCTTGCAGGCACTAAATGGTTTTGAAGAGCCTTAAATAGGTTTAGCGGAGCTTTGAAGGGTCTTTTTGGGAGACTTATATTGCCGTAACGGTTCCTGAAGGTCTTCTCAGAGCACTGCAAGGTTTTGAAGAGTTTTAAACAGGTTTAGCAGCTCTAAAGGGCCCTTTTGAGAGACATATGACTTATATGAGGAGTCGCGAAAGAAAGACAATAAAAGGAAGAACATTAAAAAGCTTGAGTGGAACTTTGAAGGGTTTTCTCGAGAAACTTATATAATCCATGAGTGAAAAGGTCTTCTCAAGACACTAAAACTCTTTTAAAAACCTTAAAAAGCCTTGGGGGAGCTTTGAAAGTTCTTTTTGAGAGACTTATTGAACTTTGAAGGGTTTTCTCGAGAAACTTATATAATCCATGAGTGAAAAGGTCTTCTCAAGACACTAAAACTCTTTTAAAAACCTTAAAAAGCCTTGGGGGAGCTTTGAAAGTTCTTTTTGAGAGACTTATTGATCTATAAAGGGTCGCAAAGGTCTTCTCAAGGCACTAAATTGTTTTGAAGATCCTTAAAAAGGTTTAGCGGAGCCTTGAAGGGTCTTTTTGGGAGACTTACATTGCCGATACTGTTCCTGAAGGTCTTCTCAGAGCACTGCAAGGTTTTGAAGAGTCTTAAACAGGTTTAGCGAACCTTTAAAGGTCCCTTTTGAAAGACATATGACTTATAAGAACAGTCGCGAAGGAAATACAATGAAACGAAGAACATTAAAAAGGTTGAGTGGAACTTTGAAGGGTCTTTTCGACAAACTTATATGGTCGATGAGCGAAAAGGTCTTCTCAAAACACTGAAACGCCTTTAAAAGCCTTAAAAAGGCTTGGAGGGGCTTTGAAGGTTCCTTTTGAGGGACTTATTGATCTATAAAGGGTCGCAAAGGTCTTCTCAAGGCACTAAATGGTTTTGAAGAGCTTTAAAAAGGCTTAGCGAAGCTTTGATGTATCTTATAAAGGTCCTCTCAAGACACGCCTTTAAAAACCTTAAAAATCCTTGGGGGAGCTTTGAAGGCTCATTTTGAGGGAGTTATTGATCTCTAAAGAGTCGTAAAGGTCTTCTCAAAGCACTAAATGCTTTTGAAGAGCCTTAAAAGATTTACCGGAGCTTTGAAGGGTCTTTTTGGGAGACTTATACAGCCGATACTGTTCCTGAAGGTCTTCTCAGAACACTGCAAGGTTTTGAAGAGTCTTAAACAGGTTTAGCGAAGCTTTAAAGGGTCGTTTTGAGAGACATATGACTTATATGAAGAGTCGCGAAGGAAAGACAATGAAAAGAAGAACATTAAAAAGTTTGAGAGGAACATTTGAAGGGTCTTTTCTAGAAACTTATATGGTCCATGAGCGAAAAGGTCTTCTCAAGACATTTAAACGTCTTTAAAAACCTTAAAAAGCCTTGGGGGCGCTTTGAAGTTTCCCTTTGAGAGACTTATTGATCTATCACGGTCCGCAAAGGTTTTCTCAAGGCACTAAATGGTTTCGAGAGCCTTAAAAAGCTTGAGCGGAACTTTGAAGGGTCTTTTCGAGAAACTTATATGGTCCATGAGTGAAAAAGTCTTCTCAAAACACTGAAACGCATTTAAAAACCTTAAAAGGCCTTGGGGGAGCTTTGAAGGTTCCTTTTGAGAGACTTATTGATCTATAAAGGGTCGTAAAGGTCTTCTCAAGGCACTAAATAGCTTTGAAGAGCTTTAAAAAGGGTTAGGTAAGCTTTGAAGGGTCTTTTTGGGAAACTTTATGTGGCCCATAAGTGAAAAGGTCTTCTCAAGATACTGAAACCCCTTTAAAAACCTTAAAAAGGCTTGCATGAGCTTTGAAGGTTCCCTTTGAGAGATATTGATCTACAAAAGGTCGTAAAGGTCTTCTCATAGCACTAAATGGTTTAAAAAGGCTTAAAAAGGTTTAGCGGAGTGAAGGGTCTTTTTGGGAGACTTATATTGTCGATATGGTTCCTTGAAGGTCTTCTCAGAGCAACGCAAGGTTTTGAAGAGTATTAAACAGGTTTAGCGAAGCTTTAAAAGGTCCTTTTGAGAGACATATGATTTATATAGCGTCGCGAAGGAAAGACAATGAGAGGAAGAACATTAAAAAGGCTGAGAGGAACTTTGAAGGGTCTTTTCGAAAAACTTATATGGCCCATGAGTGAAAAGGTCTTCTCAAGACACTGAAACTCCTTTAAAAACCTTAAAAAGGCTTTGAAGGTTCCTTCTGAGAGACTTATTTCTCTATAAATGGCCGTAAAGGTCTTCTCAAGGCACTAAATGGTTTTGAAGAGCCTTAGAAATTTGTAGCAGAGACTTGAAAGGTCTTTTTGGGAGACTTGTACGGCCTATAAGCGTCGTGAAGATCTTCTCAAGGCATTGAAAGGTCTTGAAAAACCTTTCAAAAGTTTAGCGGAGCTTTGAAGTGTCCTCCTAAAGAACCTATAAGGGTCACAAAGGCCGTCTCAAGTTACTAAAGAGTCTAGTAAAGGTTTCCGAGGACTCGAAAGGCATTAGAATTGATGATGAAGTTTTAAATGAAGTGATGAATTAATGTTATGTTATTTGAGGCTACGTTACGTTATGTGACCCTACATTACATGACATTACATTACGTTATATTACTGTAACGTGATTTATAAATTCGGGTTCGATTTATATCAATATTTATTAAACAAAACTAAAACACTATAAAAACTGTACAATTTATATCGACTATTTATATCACACTTCGCAATTTATATCAGATTTTCGCGCTCAATGTTTCGTCCGTACTCGATCTCGTTCGGTAGTAAACTGCCTGCGATGTTCGGTCCGCAACCATTTATACACGCAAGCAATGTAAGTCCAGAACACTCGCGTAATTACCAGATACGTCGCAACGTTCCCACTATCGCGCGTTAGAACGTTACATTACGTTACATTACGTTACATTACGTTACATTACGTTACATTACGTTACATTACGTTACATTACGTTACATTACGTTACATTACGTTACATTACGTTACATTACGTTACATTACGTTACATTACGTTACATTACGTTACATTACGTTACATTACGTTACATTACGTTACATTACGTTACATTACGTTACATTACGTTCCATCACGTTACATTACGTTACATTACGTTACATTACGTTACATTACGTTACATTACGTTACATTACGTTACATTACGTTACATTACGTTACATTACGTTCCATCACGTTACATCACGTTACATCACGTTACATCACGTTACATCACGTTACATTACGTTACATTACGTTCGTTACATTACGTTACATTACATTACATTATTCTCATACAGTCATATAATACAGTACAAAGGTGGATGGTGACTCCTCACCTTCTATTTTCTTCCCTTTCATTACCTACACCACTGTAAAGAATGATGTCAGCCAGTGACGTATAGGTAAATACGAAAAAATGGCAAAAATAGAGAAGACATTAAATGAAATTGGCACGTGTAAACAAATTCTGAATGGAGTGCGCGTCAGAGCTATTATTTCGTAACAAAGCAGAACATTTGTTTGCCAGAAATTATCTTGCGGGTACAAAGAGGAACAGTACAAAGTAAAAATTACGAGAAAATGACTTCATTTCAAACTAAAAGTATGGGATGATTTTCGAATGGTCCCGTTGTGTTCCAGACTCCAGTGATGAAAGTCGCACTACTTGTCGTACTCGCTACCACTTTGGTTCAAGCTAAAGTACACAGTTGGGTAAATTTAAAATCAAATCTAGTTCGGTATTTTACAGTCTCTGCAGGAGAATCAAGGAAGCGATGGCGGGGAAACGACGACTAGATATGATCGGAGTACCAGTACGACGGTCAATATGAGGGATGCGATGCAGGGAACTGGAAACAAGTTGAGGGACAAAATCAAATCCGTTACTATAGGGGATATTTGCACCGCAACCACGAAGCCTCTTAGACAGTAGATGCGGGAGAAGACAATGGAAATAAATGTTTTTTTGAAATGAACTTTGTTTAGTGTTCAGGAATCAAAATCCAAAGGTGGGGATGTTAATAACCGTAACAACACACCGTTACGTCACTCGCAAGGTGGCATACTTCGAACGCGGGACAAAGTACCTGTCCGAGGGATCGGATTCGGCTAGCAATCTGACTCTTTGTGTGCTAGATGAATGGTAACTAAGGTTTTTAGAACTCTCAAAGGCATACATGCCTTTTAAAGAGATGGGGGGGGGGGGGTTGTTAACGCTTCTTGGTGATTATTGGAGGTCTTTTGAAGCCCGTGAGCGCTATTGCAACCTATTTCCTGTTCAAGGCTATTAAAACCATTTTAAAACTAACAAAGGCTCATACTAATCTTCAAACACCTTTCAAGGCGAGTCTCTTGCATATAATCAAAGAGTGTGGGGTTTTTACAGCCGGTTAAGGACTTTTAATGCTCTTAAAGACTCATGTAGATTCCCAAGACCTCTCAAATACTCTCAAAAGGCCCTTAAGAGAATCTTAGGATCCGTTTATCTGCATAAATAAAAAGAATGTTTGCGTGGGTGTCTGCCTGTCTGTCTGTCTCTTATGCTTTCCGAAACCGTTTATCCGATTGCGATGAAACTTTGGGAAATGGTTCGACGTATTTTTAGTAGCCTTATGGACCTTTAACAGGCTTTAAAGAACTTTTCATAGTGTTTAATGTTCGAATTTGAAAGAACCTTTAAAAGTTTTAGGCTATCAAACCTTTTTTACAAGTTTTTGGGATCATGCATGAGAGATCCTAAAAAATTCCTCATTCCTATTTTTAAAAGCTGGCAAGGGCCTTTAAAACTTCTTAGGAATCTTTAATGGTGTTAAACAAAAGGATCATCAAGGTTCAGTTTTCAAGACTATCAATGACTAAGGCTCTTAAAGTCATTGGAGTGAAACTTAAAGGCACTTTTTGGCGATTCACGGAGGCTCTTTGACGTATTTCATAAAGGTCTTTGAAGAATGTTTGAGAAAAACCAAAAAGATTTTTTTCTGAACGACAATGAACTCAACTGGCGTCCCCTAACCACCGATAGAAAACCCGCACTTCCGTCACGTGCTTGGCTTTAAACAGAACGTAACGAAAATCTAAGATATCGTGGTAACCGCAAATACGTTTCTAGTTATCGCCAGACATACTTTCGTTCACGTTAGCTATTAAGCGGTACATGTGAAAATTGCCCTAGGTTGTCTAAAATACAAAGTCAAAACCAAGCGCAATTGTACGTTACCCTTTAATCAATCAGATCAATCTTCACGTACCGAATTCACAAAAAAGCAGTAGCCTCCGCAACAATAACGGGGTCGATTAGATTAAAAACTGTCTTCCATTGTTAACGCAACCTGCATCGCTAATGATCACATTGGAGTAAAAAATTAATATCCTCCATAACTGCATTCAATTTTTTTCCTTTCATAATTTATGTAACTGCACTGGGAATAACATGACCGGCATAATTGGGTCGCCTCCCGGTTATAAAATGCGTCGGTTTTGCAAGAATGGGACATTATTGTCGAGATGCGGTTCGTTATATTCCTACTTGCAGTTGCGCTCATTTTCGCAGTGGTGGAGGTAACGTCCAAAGGTTCGTTTCTTCCAATAATTATCGATTTTAGGCGCAAGCGATTGGGGATATAATAAAAGATGCCATGGGAGGAGGTGGCGTGTTATCCAAGGGTGTGAAGGAGAAGGTGCACGGTATGATAGATAAAGTGAAGGACATCATGTCGAGTGAAGGAGGAGTATCGGGTGCCCTAGAAAAGGTGATGAAGGAAGCGGGAGGAATTATGGGTAAATTTGGCGGAGGTATGGGCAAATCAAAGTTAGGGGATGTCGATGTCGGCGATCCTGTTACAGACTAATCACGACTAACCTGCACTAATAAACTGTTGTTCCTCTTAAACCACCAAAGGTCCTTTAATTTTGATCTCAGAATCCTGCATCTTAATTCCAGAGAGATTCCAGACTAGTAGAATTTTGAGTCTGGAGCCCTGAATGAAAAATTCGTATTGTAACACAAACCATTTGCCATGAGCCTTGAGCTGGTCCCTAAAAGACACATAAACCCTCAAGTCTTTGAGACCCTATAAATATAACAAACTGTCTCCAAAGGTGCCCCAAAGAGCATCCAATAATCGCCAGGAGACCTTTGGCGCCTTTACGATTCACTCTTCTTCTTCTGTTCTAAAGGTTCTGAAAAATTCTTGGAGCTCAAAGTTTCTTGTACAGGTCTGGGATGCACGTAGTCTTGAATGGGTTGAAATCGAGAACCCTTGAAAAGTACCTTAAAGGTTCTTAAAGGTCATTATTAAAACCTATTAAATGTAGGTACCTTTAAGGACTAATCAAGGCTCTAAAGGCTTGTAATTTATTAGTTTACTTCCTATGGGCTCAACTCCACTACTGATCGTTATGTATTAGCTCTAAAAGACCCTTAGACATCCTTAAGGATGCTCCCAAAGGCTATGCAAAATCTCGACGTCAAATGTCTATTTAGGCGTCTAAAGACCTCTCGACGACTTTTGAGTTTTTTTTTTGTTCCTTGATGGTTTTGAAAGCCGAACCATAGTGAGCCCTTTTTTGAAGGCGTTTAAAGATCCCTTAAAACTGTTAAAGGCCCTCAACGGCCTTTAAAAATTCTCCACTTTGATTATATTTAAGAGGCGCTCCTTGGAAGGCATTAAAACACTTAATTTTAACGGCCTTTAACAATGCCTTCCACCCCGTCCCCATTGCCTTTCCTCTCGCTTGTCCCTTGTCCTTCCACTCCCACTTCACAAGCCATTTTTCCTTTTTTCCTCCCCTATCTCTTTCGTTCTCATACCTTATTACTTCTCCTTTCCTTTTCCATTTCTCTCTTACTCTCCTTTTGCTTCTATTCGTCTGTTTTGTCTTCCTCTGCGTCTATTTTTAATATTTCCCCTGCTTTTTCTTATTTTGCCCCTTCTTCCTTTCTTTTCTTTCCTTTTACGCTAATTTGCTTCCTTTAGCGCTTTTTCTTAATCTTCGTAATTTCATATTTTTCTTTTTGTTATCTTTATATTAATCTTTCTCTTTTGTCTTATCTTCTTCAGATCATCCTCTGCGTCCAGTTCCTAATTTCTGCTTATCTGTTTCGATACATTTTGGTGTTTCCTTCTTACTCATTTTACATTTGTACTCTGCTGTTTCTATTCCCCTTCCTTTGATCCCTTGTTCCGTCGTATTTTCTATTGTAATCTCACTTTCCATATTTTATTATGATTTCTCTCTCTCTTTTTCCTCATTACATTCTTCTACTTTCTCCCTGACCTTCTCTATCTGTTTCTTTTTTCTCTACATACCAATTCCTTTGCCTTTCTTGTTTTTCCTGTTTCCCCTTCTTTTATCGCACCCTCCTTTGCTCCCAGTAATTTCTTCTGCATCGTTTATCTTCCTTTAGCGCCCCCTTCGCAATTTTTCTCCTCTTCATCTTCTTCTGCTGCGTAATCCTATGCTTCTTCTTCTTCTATCTCTTCATCTTCCACTTTATCTTCTTCTAATTACTTTTCTTAGCTCTCTACTTCGACTGCATCTGCTTTAGATTCATCTCTCGGCTCCTCTTCTTTACCCAATCTTCCTTTACCTTTTTATGTTTCATTTTCCGATTTTTCGTTACCCCCCCCCCCTTCCTTTTCCGGTTTCTTCATTTCCATACATCTTCCCCTGCTTCATCTTACACTTGTTCACATTTTCGTGATTGCTCCCCTTCTGATTCTTTGCCTCCTTGCTTTCCTCTGCCACATATTATTCTCCACCACCTTCCTACTCCCTTCCACCTCCATTTCCAGTCTCCTAATCTGTTATACCTTACGTCGTACACGCACCTCAACCTTCAATTCTTCTTTGACTTTTCTGTTTACTGTTACTGTTCCCTTACACCTTCTCCCTTTTTTTTTCTTTCCCCACGTCTTCATCTTTCTATGATTAGTACCCTTCTTCAGTACGTTATCTGCTTATGCTTCTTTATCTTTTGAATTTTAATTATGTTCTTTTTTTCTATTTATCTTTTTTTGTTCATATTCCTCTTTCCCTTTCTTTCCAATCCTATTTTTAATTTTCCATTCCCTTTCTCCCTTCAACTTTCTTTTCCCATGTTTTCGTAACTAGCTCTTTTCTCTTTTTTTCCATTTCCTTTTTTTCCTTCCGCTTTACCTTCCTCTTCTTTTCACTTTTTAGTGCCTCATCCTTTCTATCTTTTCTCTTGGTATACTTCCTGTGACACCTCTCTCCTCAGCCGTTTCCGCTTCATCTTCTTCTGCTTCCGCTATCTCTATTTCTGCACCGTCCTATACCTTTCTTGTTTATTTCTGTCCGTTTCCTATTCCTGTTTCACTTCCTTCCTTTAATGTTTTACCCCTTTTGCTTAACATCACCACGCATTTAACTTTCACGCTTCTTTTCCTCTTAGTCTCTTTTTCCCTCTCCCTCTTTACACCTGCGCTTCGTCTCGCCATTTTGCCCATTTCTTTTTCCTTTTCCCTTTCTCTTTCCCTTCCCATTCTATGTTTTCCTTTTTTGTACTCCCATTTCCTTTCATCTCGCATTTCCCTAGTTTTATTACCCTTCACCTTCATCTTACCAGTTCCTGTTTCTTTGTTTTCCCTTGTTTTACTCTCACCATTTCCCCACTAATTTTACATTCTCCTTCTTTTCACCTACTCTTTCTCTTTTCTAGCACTTATTTTTTTATTATTCTTATATACCTTTAGGCGTCTCGACTTTCGGATCTCTCCATATCCTTTTCCCTTGTCCCTTTCTCACTCTTCTTCTTCTACTCCTTCTTCTCTTCTACCTTCTACTTGCTCTCCTCTTCCCTATCTCTGTTTCCTTTTCACTACTTTACTAAATATTCTCTGTCCATGCCATTGCTCTTCCACCTCACCTAACTCCTCCCCATTTCCCTTTTTCTTTCCTCTTTACCTTTGTACCCCTTGCACCGGTTCCACTCACATTTTACAGCCCCTTCCTC